ACTGGTTGTGTTGTAAGACCTTCTGTTCTACCAATAGAGCTTATCATCCCAGGATTTTGAAAGTAGAAATACGCGACACTGTGACACGGAAACCTAGATCAAACAACCAGATAACAAATGACGGCCACATGAATTCTTGTGTATCAAAGCATCTCGTCTTATGCTTTATCGACATAAAGGAAATCACTAAGCGTATGGTATTGCCAAGGTCATCCATTCTTTTCTCCAGTCGTCTCTGGAAAGTAGCACTACATTTCACTAATTTTACCTGTGTTTCGTGGATCCATTTCCAAAGCGTTTGTGAAAATATGCCAGCGATCGGAAGGTCACTGGAAGGTGATTTAGAAAGATTCCTGCATTAACAATTTAACACACAAGCTGTCATGTTTGTGACGTCTAGAAATTAACAGATTTCTTGGTTAGGGATCTTTTCCAGCTCCTGAATATTGCCAATATCTAATTCATCAGCCTACTTGTCTCTGATATATACAGCATCAATGACTGCAATCGTCAAACAGATTGCGATTTTTTTTCTTCATCTTAACTGACTTCAGGATCGAAGATATTCATATTTTCCAATTCTCGCATCCCAATGTCGCTGCTGAAATTCCATCGATGGAACGATTCGGGAATTCCGCTCTCCATTTTTCCCCTTCTAGTTGTTTCTATATTACTACTCCTTGCTCTGATACTTCAGAGATACTTTCATGTAATTTTGTTCCTAAGGAAATGGCCTAAATTGTGTATGGATAAACTACATTCATAAAAAAATTGCTTGACGTAGGTGTCATGCATATATTCCTTCATTTCTTTTATACAAGAGTTAATTTCATCTTGAATTTTAAATGTGATTCATTAACTGGGTCATTGAGAGAACTAGGCGTGACCGGTTGGTCAAGGATATACAGCTATTTCAAATTACCAGCTGAGAGCAGATGGATTTGACGAGAAAGTATATTTAATCTGTTGAAGAGGAAAGTAACATTTCGTAGCTCTACCTGGTGTTTATACCCTCGAAATGCCGAGACAATACTGTACCGTTCAGAAACACACAAGACTGAAATGGAAAAGGGGCAGAGGAGACTCACTGATCGAAACGGCAAAGATTAAAACTCCCAAATAAGAAATATATGTAAGAAATAAGAATAAGATAATGTATATATATAGTTGAACAAAATCAAATCAACACGACAAATGTATTCCGCTAACGTTTTCAGGCCTAACGGCCATCTTCAGGCGATCCATTTATTGTATATATATATATATCATGATAACTACCAGGAGGGGCTCTTGTCTAATAAAGAAAGACTCATATTTTTTGACGAGGCAACAAATCTAGCAAGCAAAAAATAAAGTTCTTTAACATTTCAAAGTGCATCTCAATAATCTCAATGTGTCACACACTGTTCTACGGGGACAAATAGTGCTGCCCCTGTCTATTCGTCCGTCCGTCCATCTCTACATCCATCCATCCATCGACCTGTCCGTGAAGTCGAATGCTGTTCCGAATCAATATCATATCTTTGAGGAGCTGGCGACACACGTAGTTTATTTTCGCTCAGCCATATATTCATAACAAGAAGTCCGATCTACTCATTACATTTAAATATATAATTGTGGCCTTCGATCGAGAGTGTTTACATACACACTTAGTTATGCAGGAATGAGACATTCACGTCTTATAAATCTTTAACTAGTTTCTTTCCAAAACCTATATGTAAACATGGCTTACATTGACATTTGCATATACGCCTGCTGCAATCTATAATGCAAAGCAATATTTTTGCACACGTGTGAATACCCTTGGTATATTACCAAACATTCATAATGTCTTTCCATTCTACGAACCTGATTACGCAGTCACGCAGTTATGCATGTACATTAGACACTTTAAAAATATTAACATATACATTTAACCTTGTTTTGTTTTGCATCACAAAGCAAATATTTATTCACACAAAATACAAATGTACGTGCACATCCACAGATACACGCGCGTTGGCACGTACGTGTATCGTTTTACGTAACGTTTTGAAGGACAAGCCATTGTTACACAATCATTTAGCGAAATCATTACCTTGCTTTGTGTACTAGACTTCGTACTGATGTCAATGCAATTACACAAATATACACGTTACATAAACAACTGGAGAGAACAAGAGACAAAACTGTAAGTGTAGCGAGATATTTCGTCAATTAGTATAGTTATAAGATTTCTTTGATTAACGGTACCATAATTATTTCAAGAAGATAGAAATACTGTATGTGAGCAATTTCCCTCAACATCTGGGATACCGACCCGAACAAATACTCCTCCACCTACAGGATACCGACCCGAACAAATACTCCTCCACCTACAGGATACCGACCCGAACAAATACTCCTCCACCTACAGGATAACGACCCGAACAAATACTCCTCCACCTACAGGATACCGACCCGAACAAATACTCCTCCGCCTACAGGATGCCGACCAGAACAAATACTCCTCCACCTACAGGATGCCGACCAGAACAAATACTCCTCCACCTACATGATACCGACCAGACCAAATACTCCTCCATCTACAGGATACCGACCCGAAGAAATACTCCTCCACCTACATGATGCCGACCAGAACAAATACTCCTCCACCTATAGGATACTGAACAGAAAACCCATACCAGATTCCACTCTACCTATAGGATACTGACCAGAACATCCATAACAGATTCCACTCTACCTAAAGGATACTGACCAGAACATCCATAACAGATTCCACTCTACCTATAGGATACTGACCAGAACACCCATAACAGATTCCACTCTACCTAAAGGATACTGACCAGAACATCTATAACAGATTCCACTCTACCTATAGGATACTGACCAGAACTCCCATAACAGATTCCACTCTACCTATAGGATACCGACCAGAACATCTATAACAGATTCCACTCTACCTAATGGATACTGACCAGAACATCCATAACAGATTCCACTCTACCTAAAGGATACTGACCAGAACTCCCATAACAGATTCCACTCTACCTAAAGGATACTGACTAGAACATCCGTAACAGATTCCACTCTACCTATAGGATACTGACCAGAACATCCGTAACAGATTCCACTCTACCTAAAGGATACTGACCAGAACATCCACTTGTAGCTTGTCATCTAGTTATTCTTTTAAAACATTAAGTGATTCTAGTATATAATAGACAAGCAAGACTTGGAAAATGTTATGATGTTGAGCAAAATTCGCTTGATTGCATGTTACAAAAATCATTATATTCTTGTATATATTGATTAGTATATGTTAAAGCATGAAAAACTTAATAATAATGTTGGTGGCGATTGTGAGTGATATAGCTTGTTATGTTAACAGATAGCAATAGCATTGTCCCACTATGATAACGTTTTCCTAGTTTAATTAATAATAACACATTGTCAGGGATCTATAATACATGGACTGAAAACAGGGCCGAAAAGAGATTTCACTGTTTTTAGGTTTAACGAACATCGTTTGAGTTCTATGTCATTTCCTTGCCTTCATTGCCACACTGAGGGCACCCAAGTTCCTCCAGCTCATTAAATAATGATGCATAGTTTTATTCCTACACGAAATGAATTGATCATGAGTTTGATAACATAATAACTTGAAAACATTTTATGTTCAGAGAGCGAGAGATAACATTTTTTGTAACGTTATATACATACATTAATGTAATAATTGTTCATAGCATTGTCAAATTTTATATCACACGCTTTTGTGTCTGTAAACATACACATACATACAAACACGCACGGGCATGCGCACGTACTTTAAATATGTTATCAGAGCTACGAAATGTAATTTTATAATGTCGTACAATATGAGACAGAAAACGTACAATTATCAATCATTAAGTGTTTTTTCTTTCATTGTAGACTTTCCATGATCAATTGTGGTCCAACGTGGGTGGACTCACCCTGATAATGTGCGTTTTAATGGTAGCTGTAGGAAACTTGCTGGTAATGATTGACATTCGCAGGAGACCTTCGCGTACCTTAACAGGTAAGAAATGAACACCTTATCGTGGACTTGTGTTTAGAATCCAGGTTTTAAGAATTGATAATGCCAAAGATTATCAAATAGGTAGTTAATAAGAAATGTTCCAGAGGCATTAATATAAATCTTGTAAAATAAAGAAATATGTTAAGTTACGATTATAAGTAACCCCTTCTGAAACAGCTGACTTCAAAATTTGTTTCTGCTACCCCATTGCGTATTACTGAGTTAGTGAGTGCCACGGAAACAGATGGATGATCAGAAATTCGGATGAGTATTGTCCCAATGTGTGTCATTGAAATTGATGGCGAATATAAATATATATAAGATTTTCTGATGAGTGACATTTAGTGCCTGAAGTTTCATAGTAAAGGTTTTAAACATATATAAGATTTTCTGATGAGTGACATTTAGTGCCTGAAGTTTCATAGTAAAGGTTTTAAACATATATAAGATTTTCTGATGAGTGACATTTAGTGCCTGAAGTTTCATAGTAAAGGTTTTAAACATATATAAGATTTTCTGATGAGTGACATTTTGTGCCTGCAGTTCCATAGTAAAGGTTTTATTGGTACGATGATAATGTAAGTTGATTTGAAACTATCATATATCCTTACTTGTTTTCAAACATATGTTTTGCATCATCGTTATTTACAAATTTAATAAGGCCAATGTTAATTATTTAAGGGTCTTTTGTACATTCATGTGGTTGTTTTTAATATTTACGTCTTATCCAAAGATACCACCCTCTAGAAGATTTGTTATTCGTAATATCGAGTATCTTATATTTTAATGATTACCTTCTCATAGCTGTAAAACCAGTTTTTCTCATTTTACCTTGTTTTTCGCAGGTGATCTGCTCATACAGATGCTGCTTTGCGATATATTCCTGGTGCTTCTTCTCCCGCTTGTGGTTGCATTCTCCCTCATTACCAATGGTTGGGTACTGAGTGACTCTTTCTGTCTCGTTCAGGGATTGGCTGTTGAAATCTTCAGTACCACGTCCTGCTTACTAAGGATGATGCTTGCATTTGAAAGGTTTGTGACCTGTATGCGATCAATATTATTTTATCCATCTAATAGTGCTACTTTTTATTTTCGCTAATAATATATAAAAATCTACTGTGAAATCATTAATTTTTGCGGGCTCAATTTTCTTTTCAATATATTTCATGGACGCTTGATAAATTTAGCACAATACTTATACTAATTTAACAGTTCATGGACATTTGAATTCGTAGATAACATGTTCCCAAGAAGTCACGAAAAGGATGGATTTTCCAGTATCCGTTAAATCATGTGGCGAACTGTTGTGCCTATTTCGCTATGAAGTAAACCGCTGAAATATGTTGTTTTTTTCAAATGTTGTTTTTCGCTATTTATATACCAACAATATGTTTTCAGTCAAAATTTTCGTTTCAGACGCTCTCTCTTGGTAAAGCGACATGGAATGAAAATCACACTCGGAACTGGGATCGTTATCTCGCTCATCTTCCTCGGTATTGCTGGTAGGTTTGATTTCTTCAGAAACCTAGTGACCTTTCAATTTTCATGGCTTTACTTCATTCCTTGAATAACCTAGTAGCCCTTTACTTTCCACGGTAATATTTCATTCCTTAAATAACCTAGTAACCCTTCACTTTCCTTGGTAATACTTAATTCCTGCAATAACCTAGTAACCCTTTTCTTACCACGGTGGTTTTTTAGTTCCTTAAATGCCTTTCTTCGGCGTTATTGTTTGACATAATTCCTTGAATAACCTTATAACCCATCCTTTTCCTAGGCATTACCCGATTCCTTGATTACCCTTATAGCCTATTCCTTTCCTTCGCGTAATAGATAGACTTTATTCCTTGAATAACCTTGTAACCCATCCTTTTCCTCGGCACTAGCTGATTCCTTGAATACCGTTGTAATCCCTTCTTTTCTTCTGCGTTCCATGAATACCTTAAATTATCTAGTCGCCATCCCTACTCTTTGGCCTTACTTGTAGGGTGATTCCTAACCGTACATTTACGTCAGCTTTGCTAGTATTTATTAATTGTATAAATCCTTTAATAAGGATATTTCATGAAAGCAAAGACGCTAACGGATTAACCGATTTAAGCATTACGAACAACAAAAACGACGAAATTTAAGATAAGTTGAACATATGACCTTCAGCGAGTGTAAGAATTTGTTTCATTTTCTGATGTTTCAGTTTTGATTGCATTGTTGCCGAAGATTAAAAGAATTCACTTTGAACACTTTGAAGGACTGCACTCGTGCTACATAAATAGTGAATGGCTAGCCGTTAGTACAAATCTAGCGGTATTGTCTGCACCCTGTGTCGTCACTTTCCTGCTTTCGTTGTTATCGTTGAAGAATTCCGTCTTGGGTAGAGATGGTAATTATTGTCCTAAACAACTAGATTACGATCGAAGCCCCGCCTATTTCCTGTCCACGGACCTGGCGTTTGTCCGCTTTCCAGAGAAATCCAGCCCGTCCTCATGTTGTTGTCAGACTTGTGTCCTCCAAAATGATGTAATCCGGACAAATTGTGAATCTGAACCGTCACAAAACTCTGTTCGATGCATATCAACAGGACAAGTGAGATCAACACTACTGCTACCAATACTTAACATGGCTGTCGTCTGTGCAGTCATCTTACGTCTCTGCTTCATCGTCGCCTCACACTATCTCCCGAATAATGAAATATTTCATTCCCTTATACTAGCTTGTTATATCCTACCAAATGTCATACAGACAGGATGCCTGCTTAGCACCATTCCACGTTTTAGAAGTACCGTTCATCCCCTGCAGCTGAAATCAAAATCATCCATCGAAAGAGACACTCGGCCGATTGTTGTTCTCGCTCCACGAGACACGTTTGGAGATATGCCTACGTTCCTGAAACCGTCACCAGACATAGATGTCATGGTAGGACTTAGGGAGACCAATGTTGGCAGCAAAATCAGAAAACAGGTATCATTGTCTGCTTTGTCGGTGACGTCATGTGTCTCCCTGAAAAACGACAGAACCAATGTTTCGAAAAGACGAGTAACAATTACTGTAGTCTGATGAAAAAGTAATACTAATACTCATGTTTCCCAAACTTTTTCGATATTTTGCTAGCGATTCTACCTGTGCAGGCTAACAATTAATGGCGTTTTCTATACATCAAACAGTACTTCAATTGAAATAAAAATCATGGCAAAACTTAATGTTCCATGTGTGACACCTTGTGGACAAAACAAAAAAACTAGTTTGATCCTTTGATGTACATCAAACGAATCTCGAGGTCGCACAACGGTATATTGTAATGGCTTTGCAGTTGGGAGTCGCTCCTTTGTAATCTTCAAAAGAAGCATATCAGCCTGTGATTGGTTAGTTTTTTTTTCGTCTCCTGAAATCAATCAAATTACTTGACCAAACTTCTTTTTGCCCATGTTTTTTTTTCATTTTTTATCCCCCACAAAGAAGTTTGGGGAGGGTGTACATAATGGAATTACATTGTCTGTATTTCTATCTGCACAGAACCTTATTAGCGCAATACTTCCTACACTGTCTGATGGAATTGCATTGAAACTCTGCACAAGTACGGATAAATATCTACACGATCATTAATGATAATATCTATACTATAGTGTACATAGAAAAGGAAAAGTTCAATTGTTGGAATTTGATTTTTATGATATAAGGCCATTTAGACACAACGTAAACTTACTTTAAATATTTTAATAGGTTACATCAGTAGTCAGTAGTAGGAGAAAATATCACATCACTAAGCAATTGTCTGTTAGTGTTGCCATCACAAACAAAACAAAGACAAACAAAGCAAAATATTAATATCAGTATGATAATGGTTTTCAGCATAGTTTCCCACGAAAGTAAATAGAATCTCACTCAATTCCTCGTAGATGATGTGATGTTCATTTGATAAATATTTTATGATACACACATGGGGCAGTAAACAAACCTACTACATCAGTATAAACAATTCCCAAGTGATTATGCAGTAATAACTTTTTTAAAGTCCTTATAAAATACATGCAGACAACATTTTTAGACAGAAACAGGGAACATATTTTTTTTTCTTTTTGTCTTCAATAATATATTTTTTAGCTTTCCACAGACAATGCTGGACTATCAGACATATTTCTGTAGCGATTATTGCCTATAGGGTGGATTAAGCCTGATATCCATGATTAATGAAGGGTATACTTTGTAGCGTGTGATTTTGAGATCGGTAGACTAAGACTATGGTATATTGTGACGCCGTTCGTGTTTCTTCTTTGCACAATACAAGGAGCATTTTATCGTGTCTTCTTCTAGACCAGTGAAATATCAATATTCGTGTGTAGTATATTTTGGAAAAAACAAACGGATATTGTGTAAAGGCATATAAAGATATCGATGGCTTACTGCTAGAATGTTACCCGCTCGCACCGTGTGTTTTCTTTAATTTCCATGTAATATGTTTTATTGCAGCTGCAACGTCCTGTTGACCTTTGTATTGTGGTAAACAACACGCATGGTGCTTCACACACTACCTACTGACATGCGAACATTATTGTTTACGTCGCACTGGCAAACTAGAAATGGCATCATTGGCACTTGAACTACATCTGGTTTTAAATCCATATTTTTATTATTCGGTTTACATTACAGAACCTTACAAATAATCTGGATATATGTATATTTCCAATAATAACTTTTTGCGGAACATTCTGCAGTAAGTCATCGAATCGTTTGGGGAAAAACGATAAAGGTGTGCGAATGATAATGGCAGATGCAATTGTTATCTGTTTCGATTGATATAACAAACATGGCGCTCGTTTAATCATTGTGCTAGAGAGTAAGTGATATTGTGCGATTTACACCTATCAATCAGCATGTAATCAATATGATTTAGCTGAATATAAGTAATGAATTCAATTTAAAAAAATCTGAGGAGAGGGTTCTTTAATATAACAAGAAACTTCTACATTGTTTTTGCTATGTGTTGTTGTCGTTGTCGTTCTTGTTGTTATTTGTTGTTTTTTGTTGTTATTTGGTTGTTGTGTTTGTTTTTTATTGTTGTGTTTGATTTTGTTGTTGTGTTTGTTGTTTTGTCAGTGGTAGTGCTGTTGTTGTTGCTGCTGCTGTTGCTGTTGTTGTTGCTGCTGCTGTTGCTGTTGTTGTTGTTGCTGCTGTTGTTGTTGTTGTATATCTTCAGCTTGCTTTTTCTGCTATATACATAATGCCGATGTTTGTGTGTGATGTTGATGTTTCAGGATTGTGAATTGTGAAACATCAAGGCTAACAACAGTAATTTTAATTCACTCAAATAAACATTTAATCGTTTTGAAAGAAAATTTCAAAATTAGACCCATGAAAATGTACAGAATTTGATTTTGAAAAAATAGCATTTACAGGCGTGTTGTTAATGATTTCGAGAGCGGAGAATTTGTTTTAGTTCAATTGATTAAAACTGATTTGTACTTTGTTGATTATTCTATATGTTGTTTTACCATCTAATTTGTTGCATTGTGCTTCATCACGAGTGGAATTGTTTCTAACCATAGATAAAATTGATGCATGTAAAAGACATAGCAATTCGTATTTTATCGTCAATTTAAGATCTCGTATAAATTTATGGCAACTTCGTAAAATGTCTCGAGATCTGACATCTATTTTAGCAGCGTTTTAGCGTCTATTTTTTTTCAACTTTCCTAAGTGATACACGCTTGAACCTGCCATGAAGTTACAAACGTTTCTTTTACTTTACTTGAACGGATTTGAAAAAAAAAACCTGCAAAAATTACTTTAGAGCTCAACGACTTGGGGATGATTTACAGTTTAAGCGAATGAGACGTGTTAGGGTATTTGAATATTTCTTTCATTTACACTTGTATTGAAATGTATAATTGACTTGTATGTTTTTTTAATATAATCTTCAATATTGCAGGTAGTAGACACAGCTGCGAATACTTCTCATAACCTCCTGCATGCCATTTTTAATTCTCCCAAATAACAGCAAAGTTCAGAGATTAAACATGTACCTGGCATTTCATTATCAAACACTCTTACTGACAAAAAAACGTGTCGTTATTCTGTAATTATCAGGCAAGAAATTACGTTATTTATGTAATTATATGGGCAAGTGCGCCTTCCAATCTATATTTCTACATTTCTTTCGGTTAATTTTGATTTAACACAGTCGTCTCCTAGATTTCAACATTTAGACCCCTAGGCATCACTAATGGGTCTTAGAAGGACGAAACAGCTGGATATGGTGCAGTTTAATTAATAATTTGTACCAACTGTATTGTATTCTAAATATTATATTTGAATGTGTGATTAACTAGTGTATCTTTTTTTTCAATATATATATATATATTGTTGATGTTTCTGTACGTTATGAATTAAAGTTAACTTAATTATAGTATTTTGGTCAAAGTTGTCATTGATAGTCACCGTTTTTTATACATTTTTACGAACCTGCAATCTAATGCGAATATTGAACACGAAGGAGAGCAAACTGTGCACTAGAATCTGGTATACAGGACGCTTAACACTACCGCTGTCATTTGTTTTATTCTGTGTGTTGATAAAGTGTTAGGAATTCATGTTTTATACTGAACCCTTTTCTTTGTACTCTTGATTCCTTTCGCAAGCATTACTGAGGAGAATGAAGAAACCGCGGTACAATCATGGTATGGATCGGAAAGTTTTAAAACTTATTCTGAAGTTTTTATTATCTTAACGAAAGACCCAGACCAGATATACTTTAGATATTATTTTATTTATTTTTAGAATATTTTATTGACAAGATCCTGAAGACAAAGAAAATTGGGCAAAAGGTACAGCCTATGAAAGCCCACTCCATTAACATAAATACGTATACAGGCAAATCAATCAAATGCTCAGTACATCACAGAAGGATATTAGATAACAATGAGACCGGAATATTAGAATCTAGAATATGATTCTAAAACAATAATAAAAAGAAGAAAACTACCATCAATTATTATCAATGAGTGAAAATTTAATGCATAATTGTGCCAATTAAGTCCTAAGGCCACTTAAATGGAGACAGTCAGGCATTCGCGTAATCCATTCAATCTCAATGTCGTCCGTCCAGGTGCTGACCTTTGCTATTCATCGGAACATAGCCATGAAGGCTAGCTATTTAACTTAAAAGTATATCTCCATAAATCGTTATATTAGCATGTCCAATACATTTCACGGAAACGATCCAACATCCCAAGTATTGCATTCGGGGCATGAACAACAAAGAGAAAATAACAACAGATTAACAGAATCCCAATCCTAAGACAAAGTTAATGAATCTAGAGCAAAATATCATCAAAAGAAAAAGTAGAAGGCGAATAATAGCTGACGTGAAATCTTCGACATTCACATTCGATCACGAGAGAGCTATATATGAACAAAGATTATGATGAGACGTTCAAAGGTTCAGATGTTGCGGAATGTTAAGCGTCTTTGCTACATCGTTGATACCTGTTGTTTAAATCCAAGTCAAATTCGCGTTCAAAATTTTAGATCTGGATTAACAACAACAAACCCACCAGGCATACGTAGCAGCCTCAGTTTCACGAAGAAAGATATTTTCCAATGTGATAAATGTTTTGACCTAAAGCTACCTCACAGTGGTCAAAAACCTTCGTCTCTCAAAACTTTGTAATTTGTAAAGAAATTGTGATAGTGTGAACAAAACTCTTTAATATAATTAGAATCATGGCGAGACATATCAACACCATAGGTCGAGGAAACAGGATTTCACAATAATACACTTTAGTGATAGGCTGTATTTGGTGGATGCGTTGTAAATGTTGTAAATAAACCTTAGATAAAGTACCAGCGGGAAAAGAGAATGTTGTAGACTTGATTAAAAGTTCTGATAGACGTTACATAAACAATATGTAAAAGCCCGTGCTCTCTTATCTTGTTACTACGACCAGCCGACAAGGGCGACAACACGAGATGACCGTCATCAGCCACCAAGATATATAATTTTTGTTTTATTTTTTAGTTTTTAAACACATGACATTTCAATGTACCGAAAATGAAATTGGAAGCTCTTTGCAAGGTCTTCATCACATGCTCTGAAGAACTTTTCGACAAAATCAGCCTCCTATGTAAACATAGTAGATTTGCTCCCATAAGTATGTCAAAAGTCTGTTGGATGTTCTTACTACTACAGCCAACGGAGATAATGCCATCTAGAAATGAAATCATTCTCACGGTTTCGTCGAAAGTATATTTCATCTTGGCTTATGTTATTAAAGAAATATGGTTCATTATGATACACAATCATGTGGAGTTAGTGCATATACTAATCTGTTATTTGACATTTGTCTCGACTGATCTTGATTAGTCACTTTGATTTCAACTTTGATACGATTAATTGCGGAATTCACTAAAAGTATAATTGTAATGTGTTGGAAAACATTAATCAATTGTGTTATCTTGCACAATCATTTGTGAAGAAATTTCTCATAAATAATGAAAGAAAAAAAACAATCCTTTAGTCGTGAATAGGATAGATTATGGCACTTAGTCTTGTAGCCTTTGAAAGCCCTTTCTTTAGAACCTGAAAAAGAATATATAAACTAAGTAGATTATGGAAGGACATGGCTTGGGATTAGGAGACATGGAAAATATGACTACCAATTATAATGAACATTACACCACCTATACAAGTTTATAAAGGTTACTAGAAATGTCAGTTCGCTGTTAAGGTTTGGAGATAATCTCTGTTAAATTGTTGACACATTCACAACAAGTCTGTGTTATACATACCAGACAGCTGACAGAAAGACCAAGAACCGCGGCATTATTAATACAAAATCGATTATCTGTTGCAATCGATTATATCATGTACCAATAATGAATCTCAAATTTAGGTTTGAATATTTGGTGAAATATAGACACTAAAAAAGCCAGGAAGCGAGTGAAGGAGAAATTAACCTTTATTAGCATAACAAGGTCACGGGATGAGGAAATGAACGCAACCCTTATAGGAAAACGGTATATAAGGCCTACCACGAAGGTGAATGGGAATTACAGCAGAGTTAACATTAACTAGCATAGTCTCTTTGTTGGCGAAGCGTAGTAATACTATCTCTTCTGACATCGTGATATTTAAAGATAGCAGACAATGGATGTTAACCTTACACTGCGGGTGGATTTTTTTTCTTTGTATTGATGTGAAGAATATCATTTTGGAAAACAATCAAGATGAATTATTTTCTTCTGACATAAACTTAGGAAAAATTAGCATTATGTAAGTAGATACTTGACACTAGACATCAACACAATCTATTGTGGCGAAAATGAGTTCTACATTAGTCGCTTATCTCGATATTTGCCTCCAACGAATTTTCCATTTCTGGATAGCAGCACTCTGAATAAGACGAGATGTGCCGGAAGGTAAATGTCTTCTGTTTCATCAACGACGGTCAATCCAGGAAAGAAATGTCGTGTCCCTAAATGAGAACAAGGTAAACAACAACGGAAAGACTAGACCCACTAACGAACATCGACCAAGTCCAACTTCATGTCACACAAAGAAATATAATATTTTACAAAGAGGTCACTCTGACGACAATAAAACATCCTCATAATCTTGTACGAAATATTGATACGCGGAACATACCGAAACAACTACGACATGGAAACACCCTAGGTTGGGAATACGGGCATGTTGCTGTCAGGAACGAAAAATTCACCATAGGGAAAATCAAACAGCTTGGTGGAAAAACTGTCCCAACTGCTGTGTCATTGATATCTAGCTCTGGTGGGTATATACTTTAAAGACAAGATGGCATCAATTTCTGTGAAAGTAAAATTGAAAGACTTTATATGGGCTTTGTGGCCTGTTTTGATAAGGTCTGGGATAAATTCAATCCCTCATGAAAAAAAGTCAATCAAGACAGAACAAAGTTTGTTTATAGATATGAAAATAGTCTGTTGAAGATGTTGTCAGTTATTTTCATGCTCTCATCCTTGCATTTTCACGAAATACGTTTCAGTGTTGTTCATCTGGTTTGGAAAGAAATGTCTCACAACATTGAATAGAACGAGGGCGTTTCTTCAGTTTAAAATGGGATATGATAGTTTGTAAAGTCAAAAAAGTGAAATGTTCTTAATGAAGAAATGTCTGTAGAAGAGGATGCGTGTTGAAGATTCGCCAAAACCTTTTTTGAGTTCTTAAATATCCACATACCATTAATTCCGCTTCTTGAGTAACACAGCATCACAATAATAAACTGATTTTATAGCACCGAGAATGATAGTAAGTAGCATTGATAACTAGACTTCAGCGATAAACGCTGTTGATATGAGTGATTGGCATTGAGAAGCCAGAAACGGACAATAAACACAGGAAAGCGAACAGACAGTGATTAGTAAGATATAAACAATTAAAATATAGTATGTAGTTTGGGAGCTTTGCAAAGAGTGCAGATAACACGTGTCTTCAGTTCTTTTCACAGACTTAACTTTAACAACTTTTTTTTATTTCCTTCCTGAAGAGTTCAACAAACATAACACTAGAGTTAACTCCCCTGTACTGTAACTGTTACATGTATATGGTTGATTGGTTCTCAATTGTATGATATATATAACTATAGCAAGTATGTAGAATGATAAATTATCTGCATTACATTCCATTATTGGTCACAACCATATTCTTTTTACTTGTACCGTCGTTCGTCTTTCTTCATAAAGAATTCATGTTCTCATTTTATACCATAGGACGAACGTTTTCATTTAATTTGGAATAGAGAATGGTAGTGTACAGTAGCGAAAATTCTCTAAAAGGGAACTCTCGTTTTTGCAGGAGTTTATTTACAATTTTAACCAAAAGCTCTTTTAAGTTCTTAAAGAATACATTAAAAGGAAATTACTTTATACACAAGAATATATTTTTTTTCGTCTTTTTCTTTTTTTCTGAATGAGAATTTAGTCCATATAATTACAAGTGATACCTTTGCAATCGAACGAAATCCGCTAAAGTGTAAGGAATATATTGACTAATAAAATTCGGAAAATTCTTTATTATTCATCGAGCGAAATCTTAACTTATACGATGCAGTTTAGTCCCTCGTGAATTCACCTGAAGTTGACTTTACACTTCATGGAATGGTTAAATCAGACAGTGTTACACCTTTCGTTCATCCTTCTCGAAATTGTGGTTGAAATATGAAACATTTCTACATTTATATACTGATGATTCAAAAGATAATGATAAGGTTGCTGCGGCCATGGTTACACAAGATGAAACCTATGGATGCCGGCTACCGAACAACGCCTCAATATTCTCGGCAGAAGCGCGAGCTATCTACTTCGCCCTTGAATATTTTCAAAGAAACAAAGTAATGAGAGTTGTTATCCATTCAGACTCTCTTTCTGTTCTACAAAGTATTAGCAATAGAAATATCGAAAATATTTTCATTCGTAATACCTTAATACTATATCATGAATTTGCCTTTAACTTTCATGTTGCTTTTTGCTGGGTTCCTGGGCACATGGAAATACCAGGCAATGAAAAAGCAGATCGTGCCGCAAAGGAAGCTTTATCGCTTCCAACTGTTGTTTTTAAACTTCATTACCGATTTCAAATCATTTATTAAACAAATTTTAAAAGCTCAGTGGCAGGAGAATTGGATTATATATACCAATATATTAACTTTCTGTTTACTCGAGAACGTTTTTATCGTAACATTACATGTCTAAAATCCCTTTTTGAAACTTTTGAGATTTGTAAAATTCTACATTACCTGAAAGATACTGGTCGATATAATGGACTATGACGTACCATTTTAATCTTTTGTGTTGACATGCCCATTTTAGATTTTTGATATTTGTCTTTTACCATTTGGTTTGTTTAACGTAATTTCCTTTTGGATCGCTGTGTGTTTTACCGTTTGATGGCCCTAATGGCCTTTTATGTGTTGACGGACCGTTAAAAATGTAATAATAGTAATAATAATAATAATAAATCCCATAAGTCAATGGCATTGTGACGTCATTGTACAGTGGGATCAGTTGCAATTTCAGTATGAGTCGCATTATTACATTTGCCATCTGGTTGTGTTGTTATGTGACACCGGTTACAATTGTAAAATGGTTTATCAGGCGTTTGGTCTAAGTTCCGCATAGACCTAAAGATTAGGGTGTAAAAAGTGTTACTGACCATTGAGGAGTCTGCTATATTACGACCAGGTGGCCGTTATAGGTTTTGGGTTTTCCCCATCTTACGTCACGTTAACCATATATTGAGTATTTATAATTCAGTTTTCCATAGAAATACAAATATTTTACATCCTTTATATTTATTTATTTATTTTCGATGGATTAGTTGCGGAATATATTTTCCGTCCGGATAAATCTTGTACTGGTCGCTTTTCCCTTTTATTTTTTCCCACCATCATTGATCATAATCAGTAAAGTGTTTGAATCGGAGGTTTGTGACAGCGAAGTTCAACGTTAATTTTATTACACAGATTGTTGTGATTTCCATCGTCCCACGTGTTCGTATTTTGGACGAACTGTTATTTGCAAAGAAATATAGATGGCTAGATAAAACTATTTATCGTAAGTATTCATATTCGCACATTTTCTATAGAAAAACATCTACAAATAATGCTACTGGCGTGGTTCCCTGCCACCATCTTACATTACGACAGAGACGTATATAACACGTGTTATATATGTCTCCAATTACGATTAGAAGAAGCGCATATTAGATGACGATTGTCTGATCCGCTAGGGACAGCTGCCGATCTCGGGTGCTTGTATATAACTGATAGTTTTTAGAAAAAATGGTATGTGTCTTTAGCCGTCGTACTTTATCTTAAACATCAGTATTTTTGTAAGATTTTTGGTGAGTCCAGAGCACCGTTTCCAGTTTCAAAAAGTTATAGTGGTTTCTAAAGAATTGCGTGTGTCCCACAGGAAAATATGACTGAGGGACTCAAATATTTGAGTTACGAAAATCAATGAATTCATAGCAGTATTAGGCGGATGACCATAAATACTGATGACTAAGATGAAGTAGCTCAATTAGAGGCTTGAGTTTGACTTAGAATCCCAATTGTTTTTTTTTGTTTCAATTACTCTCTCTTAACTGTTGAATATTGATTTGATTCGACTTTGTAGATCAATATGGATACAGAAATTGCTGTTCAAAGGCTAGAGAGCCTGGATTTCCGCTTCTACTTGGAGTCTGAGATTCAGAACCTTAGTGTAAAAGAAATAACCAATACTCAGACATTCGACTCACTGGCCCATCCATGTTCTGGTGGACTCTATGATGCAGCTCTTGGTAAGTTTACATTAAGACTTTTTAACTCAGATATATATACATATACCTGTATGATGTTTTCAAGTTGATCAAGAGAAGCATGGATTTTGTTTTACAATTACTAGCACTAGTGCCAGAACCAGAACATATTTTGTCATTTCAGGACCAACAGATAGAGATGATGTGTGTGGAACATGTGGACAAAACTTTGTCCACTGCCCTGGACATATGGGTCACATAGTACTACCCCTTCCTGTCTACAATCCTGTCTACTTCTCTACTCTCTATCAGGTAAGGTCAAAGTCACCACATTTTCCATCTTGGTTAAAAGAACTAATATCTTGTGATGAGATTTCACCAGGGACAAACATATTCTGAACACTTGTTTTTTTCTTTTTAGGAATTCTTTACCACATAACTGTATTAAGAAAGGCTTTAGAACCATTCAAGCATGGATAATTTAATTTCAAGTTCAATATCACTATATCACTAGCATCAAAGGTAATTAATAATTACAAACAGCTGGAATGATGTAAGTGGCACAGATTTAACATGTCCACTTCGATACTGCAGATACTTCGTGGCTCCTGCTTCAGCTGCCATCGTCTGGCAGTCTCAACTCTGTCCACAATTGCATTTGTGAAGAAGATGGACCTTCTAAATCATGGCCTTCTGGCAGCTGCTGGAGAGCTGGAGGATTTTATAGCCAACCAGACAGAGGAATTTGGAAAAAATACTGCTGCTCTGGAAGTGATCACTAAAAATATAGAAAGGAAAGTGGAAATGTGGTTGGCAGGTAATTTTCGAGAACATAAAGCCTTACCTCAGACTATGTTTAAAGTAAACATATTTCATGCCAAAATTCACCTTATAGTAAGGATTAAGGAGTGATTTATTCTGATCTAAATCAAATGTTCATGATTGGTTCATAATTCTATTTACATTAAAATCATTCAATTTGGTCGGGAATTTATTTTCATGGATTCCATTGGTACTATTAATCCATAAATTGATTGAACTGTTAAAATAATATTGAGCTTTATTTATATGAAAATTCAAGTGTCCAAGAAATAGGATTTTTTTTTGAAAACCTCAAAAATTCAGCATCACAAAAATATATCATTTTACAGTATGTTTCCTAACAAGACACATTCGAACACTGGTGAACCCAGCTATAAGTCATCCTATATTTTTACTTGGAGTAAGCAGAAAGTAAAACAAGTAGAAAACTTCCGCTCTTTCTTATTACAGAAACTGGAAAACTTGAAGAATGTGCTTCTGTGAAAAATGTTGAAGCATTCAAAAACTCGGAAATCACAAATTTTATTCGTGGCAAGTTGATGACGATATCAATTGCCTGTCCTCATTGTTCAAACAAGAAAAGGCCAATTAAACAAGAAAACAATGTTAAATTTCTACTGGCGGGGAAAAGACTTGAAAAAGTGAGGTAAGTAAAATTTTGTGATATATCGGGCTATAACAGAGCACCAGTGTCTCGGAGGGAATACCTAACATTGTTGTGCTCTGATTTCTGATTGGCTGATGCACTTATGTTCCAGGCATGGTGTACACTCCCGATTTATCATATTAGTATGACCAATATATCACAAATGTAAAGATTCGGTCATTAATTAAAAATATCAGAAGAAATTACAAGTTGAGACAAAGTCCTGGGGCTGATCATTTAATGTTTGAATTCATCAGATTTGTTGTTCTTGAGATAATGGTATAAAGCCTGTATATTGTGCATACTCCCCATTAGTATGGCCATACAGTATTACCTTTCAAATGAAATATTGAAGCCTGCTATCACATGTGTTGTAAGTGCTTCATGTTTCTAACTCATTTAGATTGATTTGATCTTTATCAGATTGTGATTTAGATAAATATTACAATGTATAAACATTTTTAGCAATATTCTACAGGAATATAAAAAGATTACTTTCAGATTATGCCGCTGGATATTAAATACATACCAGTCACATCATACGTGTGTTCACAAATATTCCTTCTGGTATGAATTTTCGTTTCAACCTTCTGCAGTCAAAGAGATGGTTGTTGTTACTATACATATGTAAATAGAAATTGACAGCATTTTACATCACAACACCCCCTCTGTGCCCACCCCTCCCTACCACCCCACCCCCCAAAGATTGCTTCTTCCCCCTAAGTAACAACATTTTATGGAATAAGAAACATTATATTAGTTTAGTGGTGTTTGATGAGATACCAGTCCTTTACATGCTCCCTTCATTGTTTTCTTATTTATATTTATCATATTGTAACAAATAAACATTACAGTTTATCTGTATACAATCTTTGGATTAAAGAATAACATAACAATAATGAATATTGGGATAAAAGGTCTGTCAGTATGGATATTTATTATGGTCAGTTCTGGTAGAAAAACAAAATTCACCTGTAACTAAAAGCCTTTTCAAATTCCAAACATGAAACATGGATGGTTTCATTAAAAATTATGTATAGGATCATATGCACTAGTCAGTAGATACCTCCACACCATCAACATTAGTAATTCCTCTCTACATTCGTTCTGTATTTGGTAATATAGAAACAACTATTTACTTGTTCATGGAATGTTGAATAAGTTCGTCTCTCTAAGTAGATCAAAAAGACTAAAAAAAAAACCAAGAAAGATCAATTCCCCAGTTTTTTTTTACTACAGCTACAGTTTTTTAACCTTTTTGAATTACTAATGTTGATGGTGTGGAGGTATCTACTGACTAGTGCATATGAAGTATTTGAAGTCATGTTTAGATATTATTCTATGACTGATACTGTAAAAAATTCTTTAATTTGACAACAGACCAAAATAACAATCAGGTTTTATAACAAACTCCAAATTACTGTGATGACAATACTCTTCTTTGTGATAGATATGACAGCTTCCAAATTGATTGATCTCATTGTATGAGTAATACAATATATGTATTGATTAAAAGCAAATATCATATTTTGTACATCCAGTTGTGCAATATATCTTGATGAGACGGAAAACTTCAACTTTTAACTCTCTTCCACAGGCATGTGCTAGTCACTGATATTAGGTCACTGTGACTTTCATCATTAATTTTAAAAGTCAAACAAGATCAAAATTTTCATTAGAATGTTTTCCAACATACGTCTGAACCAGTTGATATGTCCTTTGTGTAGTGGAACTGGACTGGGTTCATCATTGGTGACCTGCAGGTAGCTCAATTAGTAGAATGTATTTTTGGAGTTAGGAGGGTCATGGGTTCGAACCACATGCTTGCCGTGCAATTTGATATGTTCCTGTTATATCTGGTACTTATGATAAACTCTTGTTGAAAGTAGGTTAATACTAGACAAGAGGAGAGCCGAACCTGGGTTGTAAAAAGATGTGTCTTTAAGGGTGAAGACTTGGTAAAAGGAGGGAATAATGTAGCAGAAAACTGGACTAGGTCATCGTTGATGGTCAGGTAGCTCAAATGATAGTATCCATCAGGACTTTTGAAAGTCGCAGGTTTGAATCCTGGCCATGCATGCATTTTTTCCACTCCTTTACAGGATGTACAGGTCCATTGTCAACAGACATAGTTCATAACTCTGTAATTGAGTGAATGTAGCTTTCAGCTTAAGGTTGTAGTAACTGTTACTAAAAATAGAAGTTTAGCAAGTATTAGTTTTCTTCATATGAAAAATTTTGTTACAATATATAGTAAGTGCTTGATCCAAGGGAGGGGCAAGGTCAAACTTTCTAAATAATTTGATATGTTATGATCAAATCAAAGATGAAAGATATAATGAGCTGTTACAATATATTATCATGGACCAACAGTATGGATCAAACATAAAAGTTTAGTTTTGTATCTTTGAAATCATAAATATTTTTCTTGAAACAGGAAATTGGTTCTTTGCCATCAAGTGGAGACATGTTTTTGTTCACACAAAAAAAAATCTGTTTTCTTTAATAAGATAAGGTAGAATGTTTTTGACTCATGACCTGTAAGTATCAAGTGTTGAAAGTTCAGTGCTTGTTGATGTCATCAAGTAAACTGTGAATGATATCTTGTACTGTTAATACTAACAAACATCCTGCAAGGACGGTTAACCATGAATAACATCTGTGACAAAGAAAAATATTTAAATATCATGTGTCCTGTTTTTCTACCAAAGGGCACCACAGTCAACTCATATCGGTGATATTTATACCCTTACAATGACTTCTCAAGGGAGGAATATCCCATATACATACATAAGGACATGTGCTTGTACGTTCATGTTTGTTCGTGAAAAAATGATGCCACTGCCCTATAGGCTATATCATCTTTCATCCAAATGTCACAAAATTCCACACACATAATTACAAACACCTTTTGTATGAGTTCAACTTCAAACCTTGTGCAGTCAAAAACTAGGTCGCTGATACTATAAATAGAACTCAATAAAACTTTTTATGTCACTGCTCTACAGACTGCGTTTATAAACATATTGGTACAAAACTCCACACACATGATCAAAAACATCACTTTTCATACGAGTTCAAATTCAAACCTTGTGCAGTCAAAAACTAGGTCGCTGATACTATAGATAGAAATCAGCAAAAATTTTTATTTTATTGTAACCGTCACCTACATTTGCACTGCAGAAGGCATAAATGTGAAATGTTGCAAGAGGTGATGTCTGTGAACACATGTAGGTTTGAATTTACAAATTTGAGACACAATGGTATATATATCATGTGTGATGCTTTGTTGATGTTTTGTTGCATCTAAGCAGAGATCTGCAAAGCTATCCAGAAAACCTCACAAAGGGATTGGATGTCAATAGAACATCAGCTGATCACTAATTCTTGTAAACTTCAGAAATGCAATAACGAAGAATTCCACTGGAAATTCTAAGTCTAAAAATGATGACGAGAATAGCTTGATGGAAATGCCAGAAATACAGACAACACAACTGGAGGAGGAGGAGGGAGATGACCAGACCATGGTTTCATTTGATAATGTAGAGCAGACATACATATCTCCCAGCCAAGCCCGTGATCATCTACGACTGTTGTGGAAACAGGACAGAGTCATCCTCAAGTATCTTTTTCATTCTTTGGCCAAGGCTGCAGATGACTCACCTGATATTTTCTTCCTACAAATCATCCCAGTGCCCCCATCAAGATTTCGGCCGGTCAGTGCTGTGTTACTTCCTTTCAATATTTTATTTGATTTTGGACCAATGGATTTCTTGGTTTCATTTTAAAATAGAATTTAAATATGAAATTTTCTTAAAGTTCTGGTTGTTGTATCATTTTGTACGTGTACTCTTATTCAAGCTGGAGTCTAGAATTGTCTCCCTTTACTACAATAAGGTAATAAAATTTACAATCGCTTGTTACAGCAATTTGAATATTTGAAAAAAAGCATACAATTTACCTACAGGAAACTGTCAATTTTGTTGTTCCAATCTTGAAATTTCTCTCATTAGTACTTTCCACACCTAGGCCACTAGGCCTTGAAAAGATTTTCAAGATGTCTTTTTGGCCTTACTGTCCACATTGAATTTTGAACTGACTCGAATCTAAGGGTCGTTTCAGACAAGATTTACCCGAGTCCCACTGATGTTTCTTGAAAAAAGGTCAAGGTTCAACCATGACAACCAGTCACCATCAGTCTGAAATCCTATATGGCTGCCATGTTTAAAAACACATTTTAAACTTTTCCACCATTTTTCTGGTGTCATTGAGTTGAAATATTGTAGTAATGTTGAGAAATTGAAATTAGGAGCGGTTTTTGCCTTGACTACAAAAAATATTCTGATATATTTTAAACATTGAATTATTTTTCCTATCACTGCTACACTTAGATACTTATAGTCTGATGACTTTAACCTAATTTGATTGATAAATAAATTCAAGATAGGAACATTTTTGAAATCTAGCACAGGAGACAAGTAAAGTCATCAGTATCCATTCATTGTTAGGTTGAAAAACCAGAAAATTGTACATTTTATGATAAACGCCTGAGTGACATAAATATTTTGAAAGTACACATGAACTACAAATGTTTATCATAGAGAATTTCTGCGGATCATTAACTATGGGATAAGCTACAATGTATATCTCAATGACAAGGTCTTCATCACACCAACTCCTTATAATTCATCATTCTGTTGCTTTCAGGTCTCTATGATGAATGGAAGGAAGTTTGAAAATCCTCAGACTGCCAACCTGTGCAATCTGTTAGTGGATGCTTCTCATATGAGGCAGCTGTTGGGAGTTCTCGATAAAAAGAAGGATAAACAGGATGGCTCTGTTGAGGAAGAACTCACCAAAGTAATGTAACATTCTTGTTTTTCTATATATAGGTTTAAAAATGTTCTTAAAATTGAAAGAGGGCTACACTACACTGCCCACACTCAACCACCCATTTGAAGAATTGTGTTGTCTACACTGGGGTTAAGGCGACTTTTTTATTGAAATATCAGACAACACTGTTTGTCTTATGTCCTTCAGTAGTAATAGAAATTGATTCCAAAACGTTGATCGGTCATTGATTTCACCAAATCAATCATCAGTTGATCATGCCTATATATATGATATAGAACAAAGACTATGTTTTATAAAACATACCATTTTCGGTCTATGACTATCATGGCACTATAAAAATCATACACTTGAAAAGGTCTTGTTATACTTATATAAAATCTGAAGACATTTTAATGAAATTGGTCAGTCTGACAGGCAAAATTAAAATGTCTCTTATGTTGCCAGGGTGTGTTATCTCTGATTAGTGGGAACACACTGATGGAGAAATTACAAAGCTGTTGGATCCAGATGCAGAACCATGCCAACTCAGTCTTGGATTGTGACCTTGACAAACTGGCCAAGGACAAATTTCCAGGGGTTAAACAGGTAGGTTTATTAATTTTGGTGTGTTAGAACAGTTATAATGTAGTTTATGGCTTAGAAATAAAGGAATATTCAAAGTTATGTTTAAAACGAAATTGTATCATACTACAATGTTATGTATGGTGTAAATAAATCAGCCTTGATATAGGTATAGTGTAAATATACTTGATTTAGTTAATAAAATTTAGCACATTTTCTGTTTTTTGGCAATTTATTTACCTGTTACCTATCCACTTCATGTCTCCTGTCACATAATGCCTTGACAAAGCTTTTCAATCTCTCCCGGTCTCTGCTTCCACTGTTCATACTTCGTTTCAGGATATCCAGCCTGTTTCATCGCTCTCCTCCTCTACCGTTTTCCTCCATGTCATCTTTTGAGTGTCCTCTTTTCTCTTTTCCTTCTGCATCATAACAGTTGTTGTTCTTGCCCTGCCTCATAATATACCCAATTATTTCCCATCTGCGGCTTTTCATCTTCCTTATTGGTCTCATTTTAATTCTTTCCCAAAGATCTTCTGTCCTTACCTTATCTTGCCACTGTACTGTGTAAATCTTTCTAAGGCAGTTTCTTGGCATATTTCTTGGCTACTTTCTTGGCAATTTAGTGTAGTGATAAACTCACACATCATGAATAGTTGCTACATGTAATAGGTACTGGTAATACACATAAGCGACCATTGTTGCAATCATATTTTAGTACAAAAAGCACTGAGATAAGATTATCACTTAGATATGTACATTTTGTAGACCAGAAAGTGCCAGGTAGTATCAGTGCATATATTTCATCCTTTACTAGATATATAGACTCAAAGGTGATCATTGATTTTGTAGCTGTTAGAAAAAAAAGAAGGCTTGTTCAGAAAAAACATGATGGGAAAGCGAGTGAATTATGCTGCCAGATCAGTTATCTCCCCTGATCCCTGTATCAACACAAATGAAATTGGCATTCCTGAGGTTTTCGCAAAGAAGTTGACCTATGCTCAGCCTGTCACACCGTGGAATATCCAAGAGCTGCGTCAGATGGTCATCAATGGACCCGACGTCCATCCTGGGTAAATGTTACCTCATACATATTTGATATCCTGCAGCCAAGCTTTCTGTTGTTTTGTAAACACATAAGTAACCATATACTCCTATTCTTAAGGATGAAGTCATTTTTGTTTCTGTCTTTGTCTGTAATAATTGATTTATAGACATCTTCTTTATAATTAAAAGTTCTTACCAAATAAATGTTTATTGTAAATAATGCTTTAATTAAGATATATTACCGGTAAGTTCAATATTTTTTGCGATCATTTTGGATCTAATTTTGCAGATTGGATACAAAAACTTATTGTTTATTATTAAATAATTGTTTACCAGGGAGGGTCACACTTAATATTGACACAAAGAAGATTATATATATATTGTCAGTGTTTTTCAGAAATCATGCTAATCCCTTCACTTGTTGTTTAACTTACTGGTATCTTGGTTATTGTGTATTTCTTGCCGTAGTTTGTGTTAGAGTTAAAAAAAGGATATCAGTGATTCCGATTTTTTGTATTAGTTCTATTTTCTAATCAAATTTCAGTTTTGATACCATAAATGATTAGAAAAATTACTGAAGAGTTGCGTATGTCTTGTAATGTCAAAATGAAGTTCTGTGAAAGAGTTAAGACCACATATTGTTATTTAGCCCAACCAGTATGTAAATAGTCAAGGTTTGTTAGGATGAAATTTAAAGTGGAGTTCTATGAAGAAGTTCTGTGAAGGGTTACATTCTGTAATAGATGGAGTTCAGCCCACTGGATAACGATCTCGCAGCCATTTTTTTTTACGAATTTGAGATTTATAGAAAATATATCTCTCTACAGGGCTTGTTTTGTCATGAATGAAGATGGATTCAAGACTATGCTAAGTGCCAAGGACAAAACTCAGAGAGAAGCTGTTGCTAAGCAACTCCTCACTCCTGGAGCAAACCCTCTAGCTTATAGAGAGTGTAAGAAGGTGAGGCATTACATTTTTCTTGGCAGCAATAGTAATAAACCTGGACCATTCCTTCCTTGTAGTTGGTTTATATTGTAGAGGAATAATGTCATGTACTTGGAGCCAATTGATACCCTTTCTGGTAAACCAGGAAGGACTAAAGATTTTATCTGCTTCTGTTTGTCTGTCAGAAACTTTTGGTTATGATCTTGGTTAAAAGTTTGTAATTGTATACCATTCACTTAATAATTGTTTTAGGATGTTGATACTAAACACTTCTTTAGGTGTCTAACATGGATGGTACACAGAAAACTGGAATTTAAAAAAAGAAACAGTTTCTGGAATGTTTTAGATGCAACTTCATTTTGGTTGAAATAGGGGTCAAACATGGAGGTTGTTTTATGAAATTGTGAAAGTAAATGAATTTGTTTGAAACTTTTTGTCATCAACCTTATACATTAATATAATCACTCTGTTAGTTTGCATGGGTCAGATATGTTTCGTGCTAGCAATTAAAGTATGCTAATTAATAACTGTGCGTTTAAGGGTTATAACAATCTTCTGATTGTGAAACCTCATCATAGGAATTATTAGCTTATAAAATTGTCCAGTTTAATAGCATTTATGATGACAATAGGATTAAAGTGATTAATATTGTTATTTCAAGCTCATACTGATAATGGTAACAAATGTTTTAAAATGTGAATTTGTTAAACTGATAAACAATGCTAGAAAAGTGTCCATGCAAACATCAAACAAATCATCAAATTAAGTTCATAAATGTTTCTTAGTACTGTCTGTGTTATAATTTGATTTATTCCTATCAGAGTCCTGGCTTCACAATATATTTATTATAATACACAGGTATATCGTCACTTAAAGAATGGAGATGTGATGCTGCTAAATCGCCAGCCCACTCTACACAGACCTAGTATACAGGCTCATAAGGTAATCAATACACAGACCCAGTATACAGACACACAAGGTAAACACTACACAGACCCAGTATACAGGCTCATAAGGTAAACACTACACAGACCCAGTATACAGGCACACAAGGTAAACACTACACAGACCCAGTATACAGACACACAAGGTAAACACTACACAGACCCAGTATACAGACACACAAGGTAAATACTACACAGACCCAGTATACAGACACACAAGGTAAACACTAAACAGACCCAGTATACAGACACACAAGGTAAACACTACACAGACCCAGTATACAGACACACAAGGTAAACACTACTCAGACCTAGTATACAGACACACAAGGTAAACACTACACAGACCCAGTATACAGACACACAAGGTAAACACTACACAGACCCAGTATACAGACACACAAGGTAAACACTACACAGACCCAGTATACAGGCACACAAGGTAAACACTACACAGACCCAGTATACAGACTCATAAGGTAAACACTACACAGACCCAGTATACAGACACACAAGGTAAACACTACACAGACCCAGTATACAGACACACAAGGTAAACACTACACAGACCCAGTATACAGACACACAAGGTAAATACTACACAGACCCAGTATACAGACACACAAGGTAAACACTAAACAGACCCAGTATACAGACACACAAGGTAAACACTACACAGACCCAGTATACAGACACACAAGGTAAACACTACACAGACCCAGTATACAGACACACAAGGTAAACACTACACAGACCCAGTATACAGGCTCATAAGGTAATCACTACACAGACCCAGTATACAGACACACAAGGTAAACACTACACAGACCCAGTATATAGACACACATGGTAAACACTACACAGACCCAGTATACAGGCTCATAAGGTAATCACTACACAGACCCAGTATACAGACACACAAGGTAAACACTACACAGACCCAGTATATAGACACACATGGTAAACACTACACAGACCCAGTATACAGGCTCATAAGGTAAACACTACACAGACCTAGTATACAGGCTCATAAGGTAAACACTACACAGACCTAGTATACAGGCTCATAAGGTAAACGCTACACAGACCTAGTATACAGGCTCATAAGGTAAACGCTACACAGACCCAGTATACAGACACACAAGGTAAACACTACACAGACCCAGTATACAGGCACACAAGGTAAACACTACACAGACCCAGTATACAGACTCATAAGGTAAACACTACACAGACCCAGTATACAGACACACAAGGTAAACACTACACAGACCCAGTATACAGACACACAAGGTAAACACTACACAGACCCAGTATACAGACACACAAGGTAAATACTACACAGACCCAGTATACAGACACACAAGGTAAACACTAAACAGACCCAGTATACAGACACACAAGGTAAACACTACACAGACCCAGTATACAGACACACAAGGTAAACACTACACAGACCCAGTATACAGACACACAAGGTAAACACTACACAGACCCAGTATACAGGCTCATAAGGTAATCACTACACAGACCCAGTATACAGACACACAAGGTAAACACTACACAGACCCAGTATATAGACACACATGGTAAACACTACACAGACCCAGTATACAGGCTCATAAGGTAATCACTACACAGACCCAGTATACAGACACACAAGGTAAACACTACACAGACCCAGTATATAGACACACATGGTAAACACTACACAGACCCAGTATACAGGCTCATAAGGTAAACACTACACAGACCTAGTATACAGGCTCATAAGGTAAACGCTACACAGACCTAGTATACAGGCTCATAAGGTAAACGCTACACAGACCTAGTATACAGGCTCATAAGGTAAACGCTACACAGACCCAGTATACAGACACACAAGGTAAACACTACACAGACCCAGTATATAGACACACAAGGTAAACACTACACAGACCCAGTATACAGACACACAAGGTAAATACTACACAGACCCAGTATACAGACACACAAGGTAAACACTACACAGACCCAGTATATAGACACACATGGTAAACACTACACAGACCCAGTATACAGGCTCATAAGGTAAACACTACACAGACCTAGTATACAGACACACAAGGTAAACGCTACACAGACCCAGTATACAGGCACACAAGGTAAACACTACACAGACCCAGTATATAGACACACATGGTAAACACTACACAGACCCAGTATACAGGCTCATAAGGTAATCACTACACAGACCCAGTATACAGACACACAAGGTAAACACTACACAGACCCAGTATATAGACACACATGGTAAACACTACACAGACCCAGTATACAGGCTCATGAGGTAATCACTACACAGACCCAGTATACAGACACACAAGGTAAACACTACACAGACCCAGTATATAGACACACATGGTAAACACTACACAGACCCAGTATACAGGCTCATAAGGTAAACACTACACAGACCTAGTATACAGGCTCATAAGGTAAACGCTACACAGACCCAGTATACAGGCACACAAGGTAAACACTACACAGACCCAGTATACAGACACACAAGGTAAACACTAAACAGACCCAGTATACAGACACACAAGGTAAACACTACACAGACCCAGTATACAGACACACAAGGTAAACACTACTCAGACCTAGTATACAGACACACAAGGTAAACACTACACAGACCCAGTATACAGACACACAAGGTAAACACTACACAGACCCAGTATACAGACACACAAGGTAAACACTACACAGACCCAGTATACAGGCACACAAGGTAACCATCTCACTAACCCAGTATACAGGCTCATAAGGTAACCACTACACAGACACAGTGTACAAACACACACGGTAAACACTACACTGATCCAGTATACAGACACACAAGGTAAACACCTCACTGATCCAGTATACAGACACACAAGGTAAACATTACACAGACCCAGTATACAGACACACAAGGTAAACACCTCACTGATCCAGTATACAGACACACAAGGTAAACATTACACAGACCCAGTATACAGACACACAAGGTAAACACTACACAGACCTAGTATACAGACACACAATATAAACACTACACAGACCTAGTATACAGACACACAAACTGACCTAGTATACAGACACACAAGGTAAACACTACACAGACCTGCTATACAGACACACAAGGTAAACACTACACGGACCCAGTATACAGACACACAAGGTAAACACTACACAGACCCAGTATACAGGCACACAAGGTAAACACTACACAGACCCAGTATACAGGCTCATAAGGTAAACACTACACAGACCCAGTGTACAGACACACAAGGTAAACACTACACAGACTTAGTATACAGACACACAAGGTAATCACTACACAGACCCAGTATACAGGCTCATAAGGTAAACACAACACAGACCCAGTATACAGACACACAAGGTAAACACTACACAGACCCAGTATACAGGCTCATAAGGTAAACACTACACAGACCTAGTATACAGACACATAAGGTAAACACTACACAGACCTAGTATACAGACACACAAGGTAAACACTACACAGACCCAGTATACAGGCACACAAGGTAAACACTACACAGACCCAGTATATAGACACATAAGGTAAACACTACACAGACCTAGTATACAGACACACAAGGTAAACACTACACAGACCCAGTATACAGACACACAAGGTAAACACTACACAGACCTACTATACAGACACACAAGGTAAACACTACACAGACCCAGTATATAGACACACATGGTAAACACTACACAGACCCAGTATACAGACACACAAGGTTAACACTACACAGACCCAGTATACAGACACACAAGGTAAACACTACACAGACCTAGTATACAGACACACAAGGTAAACACTACACAGACCTAGTATACAGATGCACAAGGTAAACACTACACAGACCTAGTATACAGACACACAAGGTAAACACTACACAGACCCAGTATACAGACACACAAGGTAAACACTACTCAGACCTAGTATACAGACACACAAGGTAAACACTACACAGACCCAGTATACAGACACACAAGGTAAACACTACACAGACCCAGTATACAGACACACAAGGTAAACACTACACAGACCCAGTATACAGACACACAAGGTAAACACTACACAGACCCAGTATACAGACACACAAGGTAAACACAACACAGACCCAGTATACAGACACACAAGGTAAACACTACACAGACCCAGTATACAGACTCAATGTTGAATAAATTGAAGGTTCTGAAAGTTATCAAATAACTAGTATTTTCATAATATGTCTCCCTGTTTATTGTAGGCACGAGTGTTACCTGGAGAGAAAACCCTGAGATTGCACTACGCCAACTGTAAGGCTTACAATGCAGACTTTGATGGAGATGAGATGAATGCTCATTTTCCACAAAATGAATTGGCGAGAGCAGAGGCTTACACAATAGGTGAGGATAAGGCTCAGTATTTTCTATGATTTGATGTCCAAGACTAAAAAAGTTCAACTTCAAAGACCCGTTTTCATAAAATCTTTTACAAAATGAAAACAAACTTAAGATACTTCTAATCTTTTGACTCAGGAAAATGACATTTTAACAGGTTTTAAATTAAAAAAAAACAGTATCAAACAGCAGGAAAGCCAACATAATGTCATTGTCCATTTAATGAAATCACAACCAATTTCCTACTGACACAGCCAATGAAAACACTTCAGGGTACATTACACTACTGACATATATGTAAATATATCATATTGGCGAATTCACTGGATAGCAGGTAGAGTACAAATAACAAAACAATTGGAAAGAAATTCAGTTAAGGATCGCTCAATTCGGAGTTGTCCTTCACAGAAACCTATGTTCAAAAACCCAATTTCCTTTTATTTCAAAGATTGGCTTCAAAAATTCACTTCAGAGCAGTACAGATATATGTGGGGAAAACTAATATAATGTTTACCAAGATTATTTGATGAAGAAAGAATTACTTTTTAGGACAGAGAGATTAAAATGATACATGGATATAGAAGATAGAGTTAAAGGGAAGTTGATAGTGACATATAAAAAATGTCAGATTTACATGATAGAAGGAATTTAACATTGTATAATATTTTTTTGATATTCATGCAAATCTGAAGAGATTACTTTGATGACTGTAAACCATATAAACAAGACTATGTGCTGTGCTGACTAGGGTTGTGATATGTAATGTGAATTTTATTTCAGCCAGTACAGATTTCCAATATCTGGTACCTAAAGATGGCACACCATTGGCTGGACTTATACAGGACCACATGGTGTCAGGTGTCAATCTAACTCTCCGTGGACGTTTCTTCACCAGGTAGTGTAACATACTCTCCACAGAAACTAATTTACTAGGAAGTATATTTATGGAAAGAGTTTTATAACTCATGAAAAATCAATAACTGACCTTGAGAGTTGACAATAGTCACTTCTTCAGTTCTGCCCTGTGAATTGTTTAAATTCTCATAGACTTGTAAAGTTTTAATCAGTGTCCACTGAAGTAATGTATTGGTGTTTTTTTTTAACAGACAAGAGTATTGCCAGTTGGTGTTCTCGGCCCTGGTAGACAGGAAAGGCCCAGTAAAGACCTTACCACCCTCAATTATTAAACCCTGCCAATTGTGGTCTGGGAAACAGGTACGTCAAAAAGGTGGTCAGTATAATGGTCAAGAAAACAGTTGTGTCGGAGAGCTGGTCAGTATGGTGGTTAGGCAAACAGTTATATCAGATGGCTGATCATGTAAGTGGTCAGGTGTACTGCCGCATCAGATGACTGATCATGTAAGTGGTCAGGTGTACTGCCGCATCAGATGGCTGATCATATCAGAGGTCAGGTGAACTGCCACATCAGATGGCTGATCATTTTGGTAGTCAAGAAAAAAGTTACGCCAGTCGGCTGCTCAACATCTCAGCTACAGAAGTCAGTGTACTGTGAGCGAAACACATCTTTTTGACCAAGCTTGCCAATATACCTGGTACAATATTTGTGTACAGTTGATCTATCTCAGACTTTTCTGGCCTTCCAGGTTCTCTCAACCATTATTTTGAACACTATACCAGCTGGTAAGGCAGCCCTCAACATCACAGGGAAATCAAAGATTTCAGAAAAGGTAAATATTTTTGATTGGCCACTAGTTTTCATTTCTAAATACTCAACAGCAATCATGTTTTGATATTCCTTGACTTTTAAGTATTAGATCACCAAAAGGAGTGAAAATATTGTGACAAAGTGTTCATACCAAAAACATCTGACTTATGTACCCAAGTAATTTTTTTTTTTTTTACAATGCAGAGTTGGTTGACATCCAACACCAATGTAGACCTACCCAAAGAGATAATGGAGGAGATGGGAGAGAGTTGGGTGATTATCAGAGGCGGAGAGCTCCTCTGTGGTGTACTGGATAAGGGTCACTACGGACCTACCTGTTATGGACTTGTACACTGCTGTTACGAGGTAATTATGTAATCATGACAAGAGTCACTACAGACTGACCTGTACACCAGTCTAATGATGGTCACTGCAGACTGTTACAGACTTGTACACTGCTGTTACGAGGTAATTATGTAGTCACGACAAGGGTCACTACAGACTGTTACAGACTTGTACACTGCTGTTACGAGGTAATTATGTAGTCACGACAAGGGTCACTACAGACTGTTACAGACTTGTACACTGGTCTAATGAGAATCACTACAGACTGTTACAGACTTGTACAAGGGTCACTACAGACTGTTACAGACTTGTACACTGGTCTAATGAGAATCACTACAGACTGTTACAGACTTGTACACTGGTCTAATGAGAATCACTACAGACTGTTACAGACTTGTACACTGGTCTGATGAGATTTTCTGGAGGACAGCATACCTTGTTAACCAAAACGTGTTGAGTAGTTGAGGTTATGATGACAACCCATATCGTCGTTAATGGTATGAATCTATTTGCCATTTTCTTGTGATCAGATCACTCACCAGGCCCTGTCAAACTTGATTCTGATCTGATCCACTTGTTACAGTTATATGGTGGGGCTATAGCTGGAAAGCTGTTGACCTATTTTGGACGTTTGTTCACCAACTTCCTGCAGATGATTCGAGGTTTCACACTTGGAGTGGAAGATATCCTAGTCACAGCACCTGTAAGTCACTTTATTTGTATATATATAATAGCTAAGTGTATGTAAATGGAGCGGGTCAGTGTAGCTTGTATAGAGTGTTTAAATAGTTTCAGTCACTCAGCTGACGGTGCATGCTTCTTTGGTTCTGATGGTAGAGCTGGTTGATTATCACGCTAGGGACCTAGGTTCGATTCCTGGTTGGGGCGCTTGACAGGAATGTTGCTTTCCCTGTTCTTTCACATGTGTTGTAGTTTACCGGTACTGAAAAGCCCTGAAAAGAAATATTCTAATGAAAAAATCCTTGATTTATAACATCTTCTATATTGCATCAGCAAAAGTGTTGAATCTGTAGCTGGTCAATATTGTATGTGTTTCTAATTCAGCATTCCATCACATGTAGGTACATTGTATAGATGCATGTACTGGTCTCAGTTATTTACTGTGATGTGTTGATATATTCAGGCTGACCAGAAGAGACACCAGACTATTATAGAATCAACACAATGTGGGGATGACTCTGCTAAAGAGGCCCTGACCCTGGACAAGGAGGCTGATACAGCGACCTTATTGAAGGCAATGAAGAAAGCCCACTTTAACTCTGATGATGTTGGGCTACAGATGCTGGACCACAGCACAAAGACGAGGACGGATGAGGTTCAGAACGCCATTGTTAAGTAAGTATCAGTAGGTATTTTACATAAGTAACTAGTCAGGAAAATGTAGACCATTAATTATTGGATATGTTTAAGGGTTCGTTTAAGTCAGACTTGTATGAATATACATTGTAAGTATATGATATAAGACAGATGTATGTAAAGGCTTTCATATTTGAAAATATTATGCAAACTCTTGAGGTGGACCTAAATTTTTTTTAAAAATCTCTGTTACAGAGCATGTATGCCAAAAGGATTAGAAAAATTATTCCCTAAAAATAATCTACAGCTGATGGTGCAGTCAGGAGCAAAAGGATCTTCGGTAAGTACTGGGTATTCTCAAGTTTATCTGTAATGGATTCGATACCCATTTTCCTAATGGACGACTGTGTACATACTAGTGTTGGGAATCGGTTGAGATTTCCTGATCGATCATCAACTTTGTGTAACCGATCGATGATCGATTAAAATCGATTAATTCTTAATTGTCTGTTTTTGGATATTATTCAAGTCTAAATATGTATTTTGTGTTATGTTTTAACAGCAATTCACGTAATAACTAAAACTGTTGTACCTACACCATCATTTTGTGTGCTTGTTATTCGTTTATTGCACAGAATACTTTTTGATATAAACAAATGTCGTTTTTTTTTAAATAATTTTATTAATGTTGAAAATAATTTCAATGTTGAAATAATCTATTTTCATACATCACGATGATCGATTACAGATTTCTTACTCGATTAGTTGATCAAACATCTCAAACAAGTGATACTCGATTAACTCGATTAATCGGAACAACACTAGTACATACCACTCTACTCAATCGGTGTTTCAGGTTACTGACTTGTTTTAGAATGTTTTATCTTCCAAAAGTCTGTAATCTATTGACACAAAGTTTGTTTCTTGATTGGTTTTAATTATAGCTTATGTGATTGATGTTAAGTCCAAGATGTTAATCTTATCACATTTATGATATATGGAACTTTCTATCAACATTCTATCTCTATATACGGCTTATAAGGCTTAAAGTTAACTAAAACTTTATTTCATTCATATCTATATACATATACATTAAGATATGAGACCAATCAAAATGAATCAGATTCAGAAAAAAATTGTTGATTTATATAAATCTGTCTCTATAATTTGACACATTAAATATATGCTGTATTTCTTCAGTGCTATAGTAAACAGTAATTGGAGGAATGGATTTGTATTGTCTCGTCTACCATTACATTTCTGTATATATATTACAGGTAAACTGCATGCAGATATCTTGCCTGCTTGGTCAGATAGAGTTGGAAGGGCGTCGCCCCAGACCCATGCTTAGTGGAAAGACACTACCGTCATTCATGGCATACGACACCTCACCACGTGCAGGAGGGTTTGTGTCGGGACGTTTCCTCACTGGTATACGACCTCAGGAGTACTTCTTCCATTGCATGGCCGGACGAGAGGTTTGTCCACTTCTCTTTGGGAAAAATGTCTGATGTTTATGTCAATGACTTCTGACAGAGATTTATCTTTAGGGTTCCATCATGTATTAGACCTATAGTCACTTTAAGTGATTTCAGAATCACAGGTTATACATTATACAGTAATTGATAAGAAAGTGAAATCATTCATGATCTTAATGTAAAAAGTGATTAAGCACTATATCAAGACCTGAGGAAGTTGAGGAACATCATGGAAACACTTTGTTGACCCCTTCATTTATAGAGCCCAAGTTTATATAGAGTGCCCTTGATAAACAGACCACATTCTAGGGTCTAAATGTACCTAGGATAATGAACAGTTTTGTTATCTAGCCAGTTAAAATGATATAGAATGAAATTAACTTGTAATAAATAGGAGCATGACGGCAATCATAACTATTACATTTTTACAGGGTCTTATTGACACAGCTGTGAAGACAAGTCGCAGTGGCTACCTACAGCGGTGTCTTGTTAAACACTTAGAAGGAGTGTTTGTTAACTATGATCTGACCGTCAGGGACAGCGATGGCAGCATTATCCAGGTAATTAGGTCATAGTGGGGTTAAACACGCAGATAGGGTGTTTGTAGGTAGGGTGTTTGTAGATAGGGTATTTGTAGATAGGGTGTTTGTAGATAGGGTATTTGTAGATAGGCCTTTTGTTAACTACAATCTGACATCAGTGATTGCCGTATTATCCAGGTAACTAGATCATAGTCAGGTTAAACACCTAGAGCGGGTATTCAGGGGTTGACACTAAGGTATTTGCCTTGCTAGACCAGATTGGAAATTGAGGCAGCTCTGCGATCAGTGTAAAAGTTGGGCCATTTCTTGTGCAGAAAAGTCCTTCTGTGGGGAACTAGGAGCATGCTCCTAGTGAAAAGTCACAGGAATCAAATGTGCTAAAACCTTAAACAGCTTCTCCTCAATGACCAGGAGGCCCAGGATACAGATATTGGTCCTGTAGCACGCTGGGCTGAAAGGCTAACAAGTTTGTACAAATGAAAGACTGAATTTAAAGGTCACAGAGGTAAAATGTCTTAAAACACTTAAATGGCCTCTGTTGGATAACGGATAGGGTCTAAGTCATGGTATTTGTTTAATAGCAAAGTAGGAAAGAAACAAAAATAATCATTAATTATCATTACAGGGTGTATTTTTGTTAGTTTTATGATGATGAGGATGCATTTTTTGTCAGTTCTATTATGGTGAGGATGGACTGGACATCTCAAAGACTGGATTCATTACTGCCAAGATGTACCCTTTTCTCCTGGATAACAAGTCAGTGTGGACAACTCACAATGATAACCAGAGTCAAACCAGTGATAAAGGAGTACGCAAATGGACCAAGAAGGTATGTAATAAAATCTGTGTTCTACGAGGCAAGTGTCAGGGGAGGTAACCAAGGTAACAATCCACAGCTGTTTTGTCAGAGTAGGTAATAATGATAACAGTCCACAGCTGTTCTGTCAGGGGAGGTAACTAAGGTAGCGATCCACAGCTGTTCTGTCAGGGGAGGTAATTAAGATAACAATCCACAGCTGTCCTGTCAGGGGAGGTAATTAAGGTAGCGATCCACCGCTGGTGTCATAAGCCAATGAATTACTGTTTATTCGCATTCATTTTCGGTGAAAAAAATGTTTAAAATCATTTTAAAAACTCATTTCTATTATCAGATTCTGAAATGGAGGAAACATGCCAAAAAGAAAAGTACAACATGTGGGAGAAATTCGGGATTTCTGAACTTTTGCAAGAAGTCTGATTTACCTGGATCACATGACAAACGTTTGGAGAAAAATGGGCGTACTGTTGGGGCATGCCTCGCGTGCAGTGAATGGAGAGCTCTTGATGATAAGGCAAAACAAAAGTAAGTACAGCAATGTTGTTTATCAATAACACAGTGGCTTGGAAATAGATGTTGAGCTAGGAGAAAGGTTAAAGGTCAAGTATGTGGTTAAATAGTTATGAAAATTATATGTTGATATTAACTAAAAGGCCAAAAGTCATAATTGACTAACAGGAGCATGCTGGGGTGAATGACCTTGACCTATATTAAAGGTTAAAGGGTAAGATATTTAACCAAGAGGCCCAGGTCTTGGTATTCAGCAAAGTAGCATGTTGTAATGTTGGCTATCATGGCTGTTATAAATGACCTGAGAGGTCAAAGGGCTCAAATGTCTTAAAAAATTAGAATCACTTTTGTAGCATGACCTAGAGGCTAGGGGTTCCAACAAGGTTTTCTCTTTAGAAGGTGATCAAGACATCTATCTGCCCATTGATGAAGTCTGATGTAGAATTGATTAGAATGGCCAAATATCAATACAAAGTAACTCAAGCTGACTTTTTGGGTTTTTTCCTGTGCAATAGACAGCAGGAGTCCCAAGCAAATCACTACTTTCAGTGTATGTTGTCATTAGTAATGTCAGAGGTTTAATCAACAGGGTCAAAGGTCACACTTCTATGCACTCCCAAATTCTGTACTCAATGTAGAAACACACAATAGGAACCATATCCTTGTTACTCCAGGGGTCACGATCACTTTCGCTCTCTGCACCCCTGGAATATGTCATGGCAAAATTGATTGCACAAGCGAAGTAATTTGATTGGGTCCAGGATTAAAAAAACTGACCAATCACATGCTTTTACGCTGAAGATTAAAAACATGTGACATCCAACTTCAAAGCCAGTACAATATACCCTTACGCGACCTCGAGATTTGTTTGATGTACATCAAAGGATCAAACTAGTCTTTCCATCTTGTTCACAAGGTGTCACTTATGAAACCTTCAATTTTGCCATGACATGTTCCAGGGATGCAGAGAGCAAATATGGTTGTAATCCTTGGAGTAGCAAGTATGTAGGAACCTGTAACCTTTCCTTTGTGTGATTGCTGAAGTTGTGTACCAAGTACAGCTAGTAGCATACATTAATATAAGCACCATGTTTATTGTTTATGTAGAGTTACTGCCCTTACTGTAGTGAATCCCCATGCATATTTTGATCAACCAGTTAGGTTCCCAGCTGTCCTTTATATTGGGTTGTATGTGTGTTTGAATGGTTCACTTTGAAAACATGACTGACAGATGTTGTGTGAACTTCAGATATACCAAGTACACTGGGCGATGTCCTGACCCAGCTACAGCCGTCTACTTCCCCTACCAACAAGGTGGTGTCTACCCAGAAAAGTTTGAGTCCATAGTCAAGGATTTTTCCATCAATGAATTGAAAAAGGTAGGCATTAAAGGAAGTACTACAGATGTTGAAATACAGTTTTAGAGGGTGAGATGGTTTTGAATAGCTCATAAAGTTCAAAACGAGGACAGCTGTACAGTAGAAATCTTTGTAAAATAACAAAGTCTTCTCAACAGACTACTGTTATTAAGGTTTGGGTACCACTATAATTACAGCAGATCAATGAACTCATCAGTATTTCTTATCCTTATGTTAGTGATATGTGTGAGTTATGAATGAATGACTCCCATGAAACGTTATCATATCACAAATTGGGCTCAGATTTCACACATTTCAATATACCTATACACAGTATGATCTTTCATGTCAGTTTTTATGAAAATATTGATTGTATTCTTTTATTAGATCTCAATAAAATACAAACGTAGGAATTAAATATTTAGCAAATGAGATATGTCTAAAGTCTGTTGTTCAGTTGAAACAATAGGCTGGTTCATGATAGCAATTTTTAGGCTGCCAAATTGAATGTTTTCATTATTAAGGGGTCTTTAAACTATTACTGGATCAAAATGAAAGTGCATGTTAATGGATAAGGAAAAGTGTAGGTATAAGGCTGGACTTTTCATTTTGTTTCAGGTTATCAGGGGTTAATTAACAATTCAACTAACTGTAAAGTTTACAAATAAACCAGCTTTACCACGAGCTTCCAGTTACCTGAGTCCAGTCGTATTTATTAATTGATTACAAAAGTACAATAGAAACTTTATATTTAAATAAATACTAACTTCAGTATTTCTGGTAATGTTTACAGACAGTAAAGGATGAATCAGTGGGGCCGGCACAATTTAACACATTGATGAAACAAAAGCTGATGAAATCCCTGGTAGAACCTGGGGAGTCTGTAGGGGCCCTGTGTGCTCAGGTAGGTATTGTATTATAACAAATGTATTCTGTCTCTCATCAGAGATAGCTCATGTGTTTACCCAGTACTCATCAGAGATAGCTCCTGTGTTCACCCAGTACTCATCAGAGATAGCTCCTGTGTTCACCCAGTACTCATCAGAGATAGCTCCTGTGTTCACCCAGTACTCATCAGAGATAGCTCCTGTGTTCACCCAGTACTCATCAGAGATAGCTCCTGTGTTCACCCAGTACTCATCAGAGATAGCTCATGTGTTCTCCCAGTACTCATCAGAGATAGCTCATGTGTTCTCCCAGTACACATCAGATATAACTTATACGTTCACTCAGTAAAACACATGGGTGTTCATGCTTAAGAAAACCTTGGAAATGCTGAGAAAGGAATGCATACTTTATATATTAACAAGAGTTCAATTATGGTATCAGGGTATATTCTTGTTCCTGCTCAGAACTAGCTACCAGTGTAGATATTATACAAAACAAAATACTTGTAAAATGTAATACATGATATCTTTTAATAATACTTATTGAATCATAATTACTTTTGGTTCTGTATCATGATAGTTGATATCATTGTCAGGATAAAAATAACCTAAAATCAGGTTTATAGTACTTAATACACAAACAAAATCAAAAATATTTACTGTTTTAAGTCGAATAAACAGTCCTGAGTAAGGTTGTAATTTACAAAAATAAATAACCAGTCTAGTTCTTAGATATCTGTTCTATTCACAGTCGATTGGAGAGCCTTCTACACAGATGACATTGAATACTTTTCATTTTGCTGGGCGAGGTGAGATGAATGTGACTTTGGGAATTCCTCGTCTACGTGAGATACTCATGGTAGCCAGTGCCAATATAAAGACCCCTAGTATGGATATTCCTGTGTACCCTAATCCTCAGGCACGACAGACCGCCAAGACAATACAGCTACTTTTCAACAAGGTCACCCTAGCGGAGGTACTTCATTGTTCTATTTTCAGATTATAATAAATTAGACTTTGAAAAACCTGTCTGTTCCTCTTTTTCATAAGTAAGGTATTTTGACATGGATATAGAAACACCCACTTTCATGGTATTGGTGTGTCCGATATCAGGTTAAAGTGGTATACAGTTCTGGTATCTGATTATTTATAATGTTTTCATGTGTGTTATAGAATTCTTTAAGTATCTGGTAGTGACATGACCACTACCTGTTGCGGAATTCCTATCATGTAAAATAAAAGAATGAATTTGATTTTGTTTTGATTTTCTATTTCAAGGTGCTTGAAGATATCAACATAACAGAATATACAGTTATCAAAGGAAAATCGCTGAGGTGAGTTAAAATTAGACTCAATAATGCCATATATATTTCCTCTGAATTTGAAAAAGTCTGCAGATTTGTGTAAACTTTTATTTATAAATGACTATATTTATTGGCTGTCAATGTGATATTATATAAATTTTACCATCAATATGGTATTCATCTGAAATGTATGCGATCACTACTTAGATGCTACAATACAAAGTGTTTTTCTGAATGTTTTATTTTACATATAATAGTGGGAGACAACGAGTGTTTGAGATTCGTTTTAAGTTCCTGCCGTACAGACTGTATAGAGAACGCCTCGGAGTTACTCCAGCCTCCATTCTTGCCTTCATAGAGAAAACTTACATCAAAAGGATCATTCTTCTCATTAAGAGGAAGATAAGTGAGGGTACTAGAAAAAGCAGGTAGGGTTGACTTAAAAGTCCTAAAGTCTTATTGTAGGTATTCATGTACATAGAAATTTCTGTCACAGAGTACCACACACTAATAGCTGCACTAGGCCTTATTTGTGTAAATATTTGTAATTTGTACCCCCATTGTAACCATATAAAGTTGAGCTCATTATCAAAATGCTAGGTTGTTGGCACTCTTGACCACTAGATCAAGGTCAACAATATGGTTTGCTTTTTAAAAGTTCTCATTAATTTATCATTTGATTTGCTTGAAAGTTGTGTAACTTACTTACAGAAACCAAAGCTCACTGATCAGATCACCAAAATGATGACTCACTGATCAGATCACCAAAATGTTGACTCACTGATCAGATCACCAAAACGATGACTCACTGATCAGATCACCAAAACCATGATTCACTGATCAGATCACCAGAAACGATGACTCACTGATCAGATCACCAAAATGTTGACTCACTGATCAGATCAACAGAAACGAAGACTCACTGATCAGATCAACTGAAACGATGACTCACTGATGAGATCACCAAAATGATGACTCACTGTTCAGATCACCAAAACGATGACTCACTGATCAGATCACCAAAATGTTGACTCACTGATCAGATCAACTGAAACGATGACTCACTGATCAGATCACCAAAATGATGACTCACTGTTCAGATCACCAAAACCATGATTCACTTATCAGATCACCAAAATGATGACTCACTGATCAGATCACCAAAATGATGACTCACTGATCAGATCACCAAAACGATGACTCACTGATCAGATCACCAAAACCATGATTCGCTGATCAGATCACCAGAAACAATGACTCACTGATCAGATCACCAAAACGATGACTCACTGATCAGATCACCAAAACGATGACTCACTGATCAGATCACCAAAATGATGACTCACTGATCAGATCACCAAAACGATGACTCACTGATCAGATCACCACTGACTCACTGCTCAGATCACCAAAACGATGACTCACTGATCAGATCACCAAAACCATGATTCACTGATCAGATCACCAGAAACGATGACTCACTGATCAGATCACCAAAACGATGACTCACTGATCAGATCACCAGAAACGATGACTCACTGATCAGATCACCAAAATGTTGACTCACTGATCAGATCAACAGAAACGACGACTCACTGATCAGATCAACTGAAACGATGACTCACTGATGAGATCACCAAAATGATGACTCACTGTTCAGATCACCAAAACGATGACTCACTGATCAGATCACCAAAATGTTGACTCACTGATCAGATCAACTGAAACGATGACTCACTGATCAGATCACCAAAATGATGACTCACTGTTCAGATCACTAAAACCATGATTCACTTATCAGATCACCAAAATGATGACTCACTGATCAGATCACCAGATCACCAAAACGATGACTCACTGATCAGATCACCAAAACCATGATTCGCTGATCAGATCACCAGAAACAATGACTCACTGATCAGATCACCAAAACGATGACTCACTGATCAGATCACCAAAACAATGACTCACTGATCAGATCACCAAAATGATGACTCACTGATCAGATCACCAAAACGATGACTCACTGATCAGATCACCAAAACAATGACTCACTGCTCAGATCACCAAAACGATGACTCACTGATCAGATCACCAAAACCATGATTCACTGATCAGATCACCAGAAACGATGACTCACTGATCAGATCACCAAAACGATGACTCACTGATCAGATCACCAAAATGATAACTCACTGATCAGATCACCAAAATGATAACTCACTGATCAGATCACCAAAACGATGACTCACTGATCAGGTCACCAAAATGTTGACTTACTGATCAGATCACCAAAATGTTGACTCACTGATCAGATCACCAAAATGATGACTCACTGATCAGATGAACAGAAATGGTTTAATTTACTGATTTAAGGGCCAATTTACTCATGATCTATGCTAGGTCAAGTTACTGGTTCTTATCACCTCCCAATTCAATATTCATTATCATAATGGTGTGTGTATCTGTGTGTTTACTACCAGTGTTTACCAAAATTTTATGTTTGGTATATAATCAAGTTTCTAAACATTTAGTTTTTAAAATTACATGAAACTTAATTTTAAAATGGGCATGTGATGTTTATTTTTTGTAAAGAAATGTTCGCAGATTCAGGAAAAAAGGGAGACAAATCATGATAATTTGTACAAAACTGATAATCATTTTATTATTTCATTGAAAAGATCACTCACAGATCTAGTGTAATGGTCTTACTCAATGAAGATCTGTTGAAAACTCACATTTTTCCTACAAAAATGTTGAACTGATCTAAAGGAAATCTCTCTCACTGAATTATCTGCAGAAAATAACAATCAAGGGGATGTCAAAATCCTCATAGAAGGCAGAGGTTTATTAAGAATTTGTGTAATTTATTTCATCTTTGTTAAGATTTCCTGAAAGAAAATATTAATTAAATATTAGTTACCTGTGAAAAATAATCTGTTAGGAACTTTTGTCAATAACAAAAGTAGAGATTTATTTAGAAATAACAACAACAAAAATTTCTATTTTGTAAAAAGGATTTTGACATCAGGACGATTACTGAAGAGAAACGTTCCAGATGAGGACACAGAAGAGAGCTCTAAGGTAGATGCTACTGTTGATCAGGGAGACTCCGATATGGAGGACATGACTGGAGATGGTAACGCTGTGGCCGACAAGGAAAAGAAACGACACGACGAAGAGAAAGAATACGATGAAGATATGAATGAAGAGGATGCTAAGCCTGAAGAATTGGAAGAGCAGGGTATGTGAGGAAACAAAAATTGTGATTTATGACAGGCATGGGTGTTTGTATATCAGAAGGACTGGATATTTTAGAAGACTCTATATAGAAGAGATCTACAGAGAAACATTGATTATGTTATTGAGAGATTAGGAAAGTTGAAACAATGGTCACAGACAGTAAATATCAAGCTCAAAGGAGAAGGACAAAGAATTAAATTCACAATATTTATTAAAAGAATATGCTGCATGGTTGGCACAGTTATAAAGAATAGAATGAAATTAAAAATCTAGAATATATTTAGTGAGTCAAATTTCAGAAACAGTACATCAGTATATACATTGAAACTGATGATATGTTTACTGTATACTCATGATGAAAAGAAGGTGTGTGGAATGTTATCCTCAAGAACTCACCCAGCTAGATAAAACTCTAGAATGTGTATATTGACAGAGAAGTGTTGAGATCATTCCTTCTGATACTTAACCAATTCCTGAACCTTCATGATTGTCCTAGAATCAATAATTGTTTTGGTTTGTAGTCACCATGGACGAGGATAGTGATGAAGAGACAAGCTTCGCTGTTCAGGATGACATGGAAACTCGGGAAGAGGACAGCCAAACAACAGATAAAACAACAGCAGCCATTAGGATAAGTGTAGGTAGATTTAAAGAACGATAAACTGTCGACTGAAAAGTTGTCACCTGGCAGGGGCTTTAGATTAACTTTATCTGATTGTTCTTCATCTACCCTCGTGTGTAAATGTTTAAATATTTTCACCTTCATTTAGGGGTCTACCATATGTAATTAAATCATAGTCAAACTTGACAACAATTTGATGGCAAAAAGGAGTTGAAAGACCTACACAACATTTCGCTGTTCCTTAGGATAGGACTAGAACATGATATTGAATATGATATATTGAAATTGGGTAATGTCATTCAACATGTCCTGAACTGTTTGATAATTAGAAAAAAGGGCAACAAGCTTAAGGTTAGGGTTAGGATACACTCAGGAAATGGCTAATTTCATAGAGGGCAGAGGGTTGGGCTTATACAGGGTAGTTATAAAGGACAAAATATTCAAGTAATTATAAATAATGAAGTTGTCTAGTATAGAGACACTTATATATTTGTGAAAAAAGAGTGATTGTGGTTTGTACAAAGTGTTTATAAGGTCTTTGTCACTCAGCTGATGGAACATGCATAGCATTAATAAGGTCTCTGTCACTCAGCTGATGGAACAAGTGCAATGTTAATAAGGTCTCTGTCACTCAGCTAATGGGACAAGCATAGTGTTAATATGGTCTCTGTCACTTAGCTGACAGAACAAGCATAGTATTAATAAGGTCTCTGTCACTCAGCTGATGGGACAAGCATAGTGTTAATATGGTCTCTGTCACTCAACTGATGAAACATGCTTGTTTGGCCTTGTAGATTTTTATTATATATCATGGAAAGATACAGTACATTTTACAATCACACACGTACCTGACCATGGTCGACTCAAAATTGACCTAAGAGGAAATACGTAGAAAGTTAAACAGGATGACCTACATGTAAATACGGCTTCATTAACAATATAACTACGGTGAACTTTAGTCGCAGTCAAGTAGGGTCAGTAATGGTCAGCCACATTAACTCTGGGTTGGAGTATTAACTTAGTGTAGCCAAATCATTGGATTTTTCCCTTCAAGCATTAAGAAACCCAAGCTTCTTTCAATTTTGTTTGAACCAATACATACATTAGTTCTGTTTGTAAGTATTTAATATATAGTGTTAATGTCTTATTTTGCAAACAAATCACATTTCAGAATGTCTTAAAGTCATCTAATGTTGCGGAGTACAAATTTGATCAGAAAAAGCAGGAATGGTGTCAAGTTAAACTCCAGGTAAGGTCAAAGTTAAACTCCAGGTAAGGTCAAAGGTAAGGTCAAAGTTAAATTCCAGGTAAGGTCAAAGTTAAACTCCAGGTAAGGTCAAAGTTAAACTACAGGTAAGGTCAAAGGTAAGGTCAAAGTTAAACTCTAGGTAAGGTCAAAGTTAAACTCCAGGTAAGGTCAAAGATAAGGTCAAAGTTAAATTCCAGGTAAGGTCAAAGTTAAATTCCAGGTAAGGTCAAAGTTAAACTCCAGGTAAGGTCAAAGTTAATGTCCAGGAAAGGTCAAAGTTAAACTTCAGGTAAGGTCAAAGTTAAACTCCAGGTAAGGTCAAAGTTAAACTCCAGGTAAGGTCAAAGTTAAACTCCAGGTAAGGTCAATGGTAACCAACATTTTAAAACTCTGTTCTGTACATCTTCAATCATAGATCAGTACACCTTCAAACATAGTTCTCTTTTCCTAACACATTAAAACATATTTCTTTACACCTTCAAACATAACTCTGTACACCAAACATATTAAAATATGTTTCTGTACACCTTCAAACATAATACTGTACACCTAACATATTAAAACATATTTCTGTACACATTCAAACATAGCTCTTTGCTCCTTTTACTCTCAAACATGGTTACATACACTTCAAGCATTCCAATATTGTTCTATACACCTAACATACAAACACAGTTATATACATCCAACATGTTCAGACATAGAGTATTGTACACATTCGTACAGTTTGGTTAATGTTTCAGATAAGCATTCATGAAAATGATATAAGGTAGTCATCAAAGTATTATTAAAAATCAAGGCTATGTGATGTTACATTTATATCAACTATGATAATTTATGAAGTTAAATGCTGTTGTATTAACCGCCTGCTTTTAGAAGTATTCTCAAAATGGAACATTTCTCAAAGAAAATTGTTAAAAGAACAAAGTCTGTTGGGTGTCAGGTTGCACAGTGGTAACACACTTGCCTTTCAACTAGCCATCCTGGGTTCGATTCTGGGAATGGACATGAAAATGTATGGGATGAACTGCCTGACCACTTGGGATTTCCCCTGGTTCTCCGGTTTTCCTCCCACAGTAACACTCACCTCCCGGCATGCACCTTCATTCGGGCCAACAAGAATGACTAATATAAGCTTAAAGCTTGTTTCACGGTTTTTGTAAATACATAACTAGAGTTTATTTATTTAACAAAGTCTGGACATTAAAACAGAATAAAGTAAACATGTACTTTAATACACTATAAATAGTGTCATCTTATTATAAGATGTCTACTGCAAATATAACTGATATGTGTGTCAAAACAAAAAGAGACCAGAAAAAGTAATTATCTCACAGAATGATATATAATGAGAGATATTCCACGTCTTTGTTTTAGTTTGGTATACAGAACAGTAAAGTGGATGTTTCTTCTCTGCTGGAGACTGATGCTAAAACAGTCATAGTACACCAGATTCCAGGCATCAACAAGTGTTACTTAACAGAGCAGAAAGGAGCAGAACGACGGGAGCTCCACCTTAAGACAGACGGCATAAACATACAGGTATGACAAATTCATGGGGTGGCATGAGATACCTAACTCATTCTCACTCACTGGAACTTTTTTACAAATCTGAATCTTTCAAGCTCATCTGTTCAAAACAAACTGAACATTTTAGAACTGAGAACTTGAGATCTCTTTCATAACTTGAAGTTGTGTACGACATACCATACTGTTGACAACATTATCAGTAGATGTGTCAGACACACTTTCATTATCACAGGTTTACATGTACATTTTTGTTACATGTGCTGCATGTGGACCTTTCAGAGCTACCAATGGCTCGTCATTTTCATCCGTTTCTTCTTCACACTCTAAACCTCTTTGTTTGAATAGAATTATGACAGATTGTTTTATCTAGATCTGCGATATCTTTATCCATACAGAGAAATTTCAGAAGCAATCATACTTACAATCACAGCATTTCCATTTTTGCAAAATATCTGAAATTCTCTTCGGACAATTTCATTTATTTCATACGGTGCTTCCTCTCACACCATTTGTTCTTGCTTAGATTGCTGTTCACGGTCAGAGGTCAAGGTCAATGTTACTATGAATAGAAAATTAGTATACCGTACAATTTATTTTAATATTGATTTATTAATTCTATTCGAAGTTCATAAAATGCTTCTTTGCCTATACAATTTAACCTGAGATTAATCACTAGTTTGACCCGTCATCAGTGTCAATTCTGATCAGGGGAAGAAATACTGATTTGTGATATCATGTTCACATTAACATGTACCCACCTATTTCTTAACATATAACACTGTAACAAACTTCTTCATTTCTGTTAATCGTATGTCATAAAACAGGTACCAAGTGTTGAAAATTTGTCTCTGTACACAACTATTCATGACTTTCTAAATTTGTCTCTGTACACAACTATTCATGACTTTCCCCATTCTCTCCTTCATATGTATCTGTGAAGTACACAGGTGCAGTCATAAGGTGTAACTTAATTCATAATATAGATAATACAAGCTGTTGAATGACATTTATTGTGCTAATATATTTGAATTGATTGTGAATATAGAAACATTTTAAAAAAGAAGATAAACTTATTGATTAAAGAAAAGGACTAATGTATTTGAATCATGATCTGTCTGGAAATATGTTGAATACATTAAGTCTATAAAACCTTGTAGGAAATATACAAGTATGCAGACATATTGGACATCTCTCAGCTCTACACCAATGATATCCATGCCATGGCCGCTACATATGGAATTGAGGCTGCTTCCAGGGTCATTGTCAAGGTAAGTAAAGGTCAAGAGTATTCCTTAAGGGTCACGGTCGAGGTCAGTAAAGGTCAGGTTACCAGTCAGTAACATATCCCTTGCAGGTTCACTGTCAAAATTTCATTGTTAAAACTTAAATTCAAAGGTAAAACTTAATTAATGTATTTTACCACCAAGAGTATGATATAATGTTCTTTTTTTCAAAAGATAACAAGAATTCACAAATATTCATATGTACTTCCTACAGGAAATTCAGAATGTGTTTGGTGCCTATGGAATAGAGGTAGACTATCGTCACCTCTGTCTTCTGGCTGACTACATGACGTTTGAAGGCTCCTACAAACCATTCAACAGGAAAGCTATGGAGACCAGCAGCTCGCCCTTACAGAAGATGTCATTTGAGACTACAATGCATTTCCTTGTGAAGGCCAGTATCCATGGCAACAAGGACAGTCTCAGAAACCCGTCATCCCAGTTGGTTGCTGGAAGACTTGTGTCCTGTGGCACTGGGACGTTTGAAATCTTACAACCCTTCTGCTAAGTGCTAGACCTCCACTACAGAAGCTGTGAAGATTTGTGTTCAATTAAATTGTTAAGTTTGAGTAGTGTATATAACATCATAATGATAAGTGAACTGTTAAGTTTGAATATATTGTCTTTCAGCTGGAGCTGTGTTCGAAAAAAAATGTTCCACTTCAGGAACTTAAGTTTAATAATTGAATTTTTCGCCTATTTAAGAGGGGAAATAATTATTTCTTATTTAACTGATTGGTGTCTCCTTTTGACCAAGGAGCCTGTTTTTACCATTTTGGGTTGTTCGCATGCTAAAATAAAGGGATACATATCTTCATCCCCTTTCAGTGTTGGAGTTAACTTTGTTTAATTCTTTGAATACCATTTAAATAATCAATATGCCTAGCTGTTGAATAACTGACTAAAGATTCCTTGGTTCCTTGAACTGCTAGATTCACAACTTTCCAGAGACCCATAATAAGTAGAGGAATTAAAGCTATTGGATTGGTTTAGAATTTTTACAAACTTGAATCTTTCGATTATTTTTCAGCTATGCAAGCTGTGCTATTCTTTAACAACTCTTGTGATACATGTAATATTTTCAACACTTTTTCAAATTAAAGGAAACATTGAGGTAAATTTTAAAAGCAAATTGTAAATGACTGTATGTATAAATTTATTTTGTATCACCTTGAAAGTCCATGTTGATGTTTAGTAAAGAATTTGGAGAATATTGTGTCTTAATTTTTTTTTTATTTTGATCGCACCAAACACATTAGATCTTTCCATGAAAAGTCTTAACATTCTTACCAACTGAGATAGTCACGGTCATAAAGCAGTGGAATCCATGACAATTACTTCTGGGATGAACTCTTGAGAAGCGTAAACGAATGATTCATTGCCCAGTTTGAAGCTTAGTCCCTGTTTGTCTTCAGTGTCCTTATGGGAATTGGTTCAGAGCATGTATGCCGTGTTAGATGCATGTATATGAAAGATCTTATCTGAGATGAATTTGTTATTAGATTCAGTGTATGCAGGCTACATGTACATCAATGGGTAATTTATGTATTAAGGTTATTTTATGAAGAGAAGACAGAGATACATTTAAGTTTTGTCAGGTAAATGTAGATTTCCCAAACAAGGATACAGTAAACACTGTGCCAATCTCCACAGACTTCTTGTATCTTAGATAAATTTAGAGGACACTTATAATGCAAACACATTACTGGTTTTAAGAAATTAATTAAAATAAAATTACATGTATGACACTGGGCAAGTATTCACCCCATTCTGAAATCAGGGAGACTTTACGTTGTAGACACATGTATATGTACAGGGGACTGGTGTTAGTTTCTGTTTTATAATCATATGAACTAACAGACTATCAAACATTCTTTTACATAAAATATACCTTTATTAACAAATACACCTACGTTAGCTCTTCACTGCATCACTCAAATGTACACTAAGTTCAGAGTTTTTCAAATGTTTCACACGATTTCTTTTTCTCCGCTTTCTTTTGTCAACTGCACTTTCTAGAAATGATTTTTTTGCTTTGTTCTTTTCTGCCTTTTTCGACTTTTTACAGGACAATGGGTTTGGCCCCTTAGGTCCTTTTCTTTTGAATTTTTTCGTCACAGGTTGTTCTCCAAATGCCTGAACTTTGAGTTTTTTCAATACTTCCATATGATGCTCTGCGGGAGCAATGCGTGCTTGTAACTCCTCGTCTGCCTTTCCTTTGGACAGTTCAGTGGGAGATTCCATGTTGATAGCATTATAAGCCATGAACAAGAGCGGTACGCCAGGGTGGGTCTCTCTCAACATTTCTCTTAGTTCGTGATCCTGGAAAAAACACAATACTTGCTTAACATCTCTAAAAATATGATGTAACAGAAAATCAATGTGAGATAAACTTATGATGTCTGAACATTTCAGTAAATTCCAGATTACCGTTTTGGTGTTACAGATCTCCAAATGCCACTCCATAGATGAGAATTTATATCTTTATTGTGATGTTGCAATAAAAAGTTCAAATATATTAATTCTTATACATATAAAAATTATCAAATTAGGGGGCAAACTTGAGATGTCATTCCGCAAACCTGTTTAGAATTAGAGGTCTTAAACTCTCTACAAATAACAAAATAACTCAAAGACAAGAACCAACGTCCATTCAGTGTAAATAAGGGAAAGTTCACCGACAAGGTCCCAGAAGGATACCAAAAAGTATGCAGGGCTCTCTACAAATAACAATTAAATGTGACATACCTGAGTAGCAATCAGAAGTTTCCCTGGTGGACTTTTATTCACAATCGACTGGATACACGTGGCTGCCTTGACTGGTTTCTTATGTTTACATTGCTGGACTTTAAACTGCTGCAGAATCTTCAGAGGCCCATACAGAAGTGTACCTGTATCAGAGGAACATACAAAAGCATACCTGTATCAGAGGACCATACAGAAGTGTACCTGTATCAGAGGACCATACAGAAGTGTACCTGTATCAGAGGACCATACAAAAGTGTACCTGTATCAGGGGACCATACAAAAGTGTACCTGTATCAGAGGACCATACAAAAGTGTACCTGTATCAGAGGCCCATACAAAAGTGTACCTGTATCAGAGGACCATACAAAAGTGTACCTGTATCAGAGGACCATACAAAAGTGTACCTGTATCAGAGGACCATACAAAAGTGTACCTGTATCAGAGGACCATACAAAAGTGTACCTGTATCAGAGGACCATACAAAAGTGTACCTGTATCAGAGGACCATACAAAAGTGTACCTGTATCAGAGGACCATACAATGTGTACCTGAATGAACAAAATTTTTTAAATCTAGCATTTGTTCCTAGTACCATGCATCAGCTTTTTAAAGGAAATACATTGTGGTTGCTATGTGTTTGGTTCAATGTATAGCACTGGTATCTCTGCAGACATTTCATAATGTATTAAAAATATAAAGTTATTTTATCACAGATATTTGAAAACTGAAAACAAAACAAGTTCTTTCAATAAAATACAGATCTGACTGAACAAGTTCAAATTTGCATCAGATTATTTGTCAACTTAAAATTACATGATTACAAATGACAAAGTGATTCACTACCTAAATAAAGTTTGTGAACACACTATAATATTGCTACAAAAAGAGTCTACAACATAGTTCTGACATGATGTCAGTCACCCTGGTAAAAGTCATGACATACAGAACACACTATAAGTTAAAAAATGACACAGTATAAAATGATATGGATATATTGTCACTATGAAATCTTACCGAAAGCCGCACATTCTTCTTTAATACATTCAGTTGTTATAACGTTGACCTCTCCCTCCAAGTAACGTGGCATCTGATCACTTATGTTGACCTTAAATGTCAGTGCTGACTTACTAAATGTTCCATCCACTAGGATATTGTAAGGAGTTTCAAGTCCAAAATTGTTCTTGTAGAAACTGATAAGCTTTCGCACTCTCTTCTGTCTTTTCCTCATTTTGATCTAGAACCATGAACCTGTAAATACACATTATATGAATTAAGGTAAACTTGCTTCATGTGAATTGTTATTTTTGGCAAATTAGTGCAATGATGAATTTGAGCATCCACAATAATAACTAAACAGTACGTTTTTACAGTATCTGGAAACTGCATTCACCATAATACATTCACCACAAAAAAAAGTGTAAATTTAGACTATGGTTAAAAGCATGTATGTTTACAAGATCATCTTAGACAATTACACATGCAATTTCTAAAGACAAATTTCCAGGGTTAGAACATTATGTAGCAAAATCTGAAATGTACATAATTTTCTTAAAAAACATACATGTAAATACAGGTCACAGTGACCTACAAAATGCGTGCATGTCCATGTGGATGTATAGTAGATAGCAGTATATTCATCCTTATTGTATATCGAAAAAAATTCAGTGTGAACCTATCTATACCTTACAATACCACAAATCTGCAGCTGACTATAATTTTGTATTTTTTTTTTTTTTGTTAAAGGCAGAAGGAAAACAATTCTTTAGTCCTTAACATAGATAAGAAGTCTATCACACAGGAAACACAGATAATTCTTTGTGATTTTTGCTGACTGACTGATAGACAGGTGAACAAGATGAATTGTCACATGTTTCAAAAACCTATTTGCTTCGTAAATACACAGCTATATATTTCACCTCACAGGGATCTGGTACAAATTCCTGACCCACGGTTCATAAAATATAGTGACTATGATACATAGTGGGTCGGGAATTCGTGCCAAATCCCTGTGTTTCAGCTCACAATTTCTTAAGATCCTACATGATTACCACTAGATAGTGTATACAGAACATACAACATTATCACAGCAGTAATTTTGGTTTCAGTGAGTCCTGTCACACACCTTAGTTGAGAAACACTCTCTAGGTTGTAGTTTTTTTTTTCAAACCCATAGATAACGAGTGCCATGGACACAATATACGTCGCCAAAAAATATAAAGATCAAAATTGGTCCTTTTAATTATCGCTTTTAACATGTCTGTATCATAAATCTTACAAAATCAATGAACCGAAAAATCACACCTCCATGCACATTGAACCATTGTATTAGTGACATTGAGCAAGTTTTATGAAAATCTGATCATTAGTTTAGGAGGAGTTGCGTTCACGAGGCTCCACTATGAGCAAGCTACAGATACAAAGTTGAAAATGGCATAAATCTTACCAAAATCAACAAACCAAAAAATCGCCCCTTCATGCACATCTACCCATTGTAGTAGTGACATTGAGCAAGTTTCATGAAAATCTGATGATTAGTTTAGGAGGAGTTTCATTCACAAGAAATGGACGGACGGACGGACTGAAAGAGAAGATGACACCAATAAATCATGTCTCATCTTTAGAGGTTATGGATATCACCACTTCATGATTAAATCTGTTTGGGGCCAGGTTTATACAAAATAAGTTATATATGTAGACTCTTCTTTCACAGTTATTAAAAAGTATCTCCTACCAAGACAGCAGGCATCAAATGGAATTTGAACAAACAGTGCAAAGGATATGAACAAACAAGACAAAGGATATTTGCTCTAGATAAATGATCTTGGGTCATATTCATTCAATTAAGTTCTATTTTCCAAACAAGGAAATAAACTACTTAATAGTTTTTCATTGAATATAGAATGAATTTTTACTTCCACAACTACCTATTTCTAAGTACAGACTGACCTCCACCATATTGAAATGTTGATAAATTGATGTGTGCTTAGTATGTGCAGAAGAAGTGAGAAACAGACCTGTCACTGTTAAGCAGTCTGGAAGTGGGTTTTAAACCTTCACAGGGTATCAGCTGTCGCCAAATCTGGTGGTAATTTGTTCCAGTCTGGGGTAGTTTCAGGGGAAAAAAGACTATTTTGGGCTGTTGGTTCTACAATAGTGTTGGATAGGAGAAGGAGAAACAGAGTAGAGTCTGAAAGAGCTTTGGTTTAAGATAGATTTCATTATTCAAAGCAACAAGATTGTGGGAGATTTCATACATCACAAATATGTGTCCTTACATCTATCTGGTAGACTTTGTCAGTGCAGATCTTCATTAACACTTGAAATATAAAAATGTTATTTGTTGGTTTTTTTAAAAATGGTTTATGCAGATTTTATCACAAACATATACATATCTAATTCAATGCTCTTATGAAACTATACCCCAGAAAGATGCCGCGCTTTCATGTGTTAGATATGCAAATCAAGTTTGAGACAAACTAAAAATTCACACAGTTACTAAATTCATAGAGTACAGTTAGGAAAGAAAATCAAATGTGATTTAAACAACTCAACTAAACTCTGTGAACTATATACCGATATAAATCAAGTTTATTTCTGGTACAGAACAATTTCTTCATATCAGACTCCAATGAAACACACATGTGATTAAGTTTATGTTATGACTTTGGCTCTGTTCTTAGAAAGGAGCTCTTGTTTTTTGCAGTGTTTCTCCATAGCTATTTTTGATGGCATTTATTTACATTTAATGCTGATACTAGCTATTCTAATCTTTTACACTTCATATCAAGAATGTCCTTCCATCTGTGATCTGCTATTTAGCTTGGCAGCTCCATGTACCTTTAGATCACTGAAACTTTCAAAGTTTCATGGACTGTGCACTTCCAACCTGTTGATTAGCTCAGTTAACAAAATTACCTTGTCCTATATAATATCCTTTCCAAGCATTCATGTACATGTGTAATCAGTAAATTTTTAGTTCCTGTGGACTCAGGCTTTTACTATGAGACACACACATGTATATATTTTCAGACCTCACAACTGTATATCTCTGAGAAGTGGAACTCATCAAAATTTTTTAAATGATACAAAGAACCATGGATTCACATAGAAAATATCCTACAATATTACTGTGAATTTATTCTATAGCAAGTATGTTGCAGAAATAGAACTCAATCAATGCACAATGTATGCAATAATGACTGGAAATTAATGTATGCTACCATTTTTTGTTTTTTTTCACAGCGTAATATGCAGCTTATTCATCTCGTTGTACTCACTTCAAGACAAAATCTATTTCAAATTAGAACTTTTCACATGTACTATTTGTCTTCCTCAGGTTTGTTTTCCAGATAGTTCTATAGTCTTCATGATTTTGATAAAATTATGTAATGATATTGAAAATGATTTGTTTTTGCAATGATGATGATGATGATGATGTATTATAGATGTACCATCCTTATATGTATCATCACTGGGTGGTCGGGTGGCGCAGTGGTAATGCACTCGCCTTTCACCTAGCCGACCGGGGTTTGATTCCCGGAACGGACGTGAAAAGGTAAGGGGTCACCTGCCCGACCACGTGGGTTTTCCCCGGGCACTCTGGTTTCCTCCCACAATAAGACCCCTCGCACGCTTACATCCGGGCCAACAAGAGTGATTAGTATAAGTTGACATAACTTGTTTCGCAATTGTTGTAAAATAAATAAAGTTTATATTATATGTATCATCCTTATGATATGTACTATATGTGATTTTTTTTTCAAAAATGAAACATATACAACAAAAAAAGATTTTAAGCACAGGAACTCTGAGAATTATTATAGGCATTATACATCCTGTTATGCAATGTTTTGTGATGATTAACATTAATCAGCCCGGAGGATTCTGACTTTTTATCGTTGATCTCACCTTATTGTTTCTTCTTGTGGAAATCAACCCTTCAGACTAAATATTAACCTAATATAAGCTGAATCAATTCTCAGGTCCCTGGTGACATAAGGAAGGGGTCATTCAATTCAGAACCAATTAAACACAAAGGCTTTTCTTCTATATAAAACAAGCACTTATTTATTTATTTGACAGGTTTTACGTCCACTGTTACAGCCATTCGGCCTTTAGGGAGACAAAAAGAGATAGGAAAATGGGTAGAAAGGGGAAAACAGGAAGCATTGGGAGAGAGTGGGATACAGAGGTGAGGTAGAGAGGGGTCATCTATACTACCTGACCTTTTCTTTAACTATAATTTAGACGACCACCACTTGGCCTTAGAAATGAAGACCTAAACTAATGCTAAGCATGCTGCAGTAAAAGGACCAGTTAAGAACAAAGAGGAAGATATAAGGGTCCTATAATTGATAAGGGACCTATATTGTGCAAGTTGGCCACCATTTTAAGTCCCATTTGACGGACTGTTGGTAAGTTGTTAGTAAAGTATAACTTGTCTTTCTGCCTCTCTGATTCCACAAACTGTTCACTTTATCAATGCTTATACTTTCTGTAAATCCATACTGTTCCTTTCTTCATGTAGCTGTTCACTTTCCAGCATTTATATGATTATATTTTGTGATTACGAGGTTAGCATTGGGATAGGCTGGGTGTGTTAGAAGGAGTTTACGAAGTGGCTAATAAATAGACTTGTTACGTGGTTACTTATTGGCCGAGTGAGTGTCATATATGGGATAATTGTCAACTTCGTGCGTTAAAGCAGAGACGTATATATCACATATAGCCTATACGTCTCTGGTTAAAGGGTAGGGGTGATAGGAAAGGAAGGCTATAGGGAGAGTTGGGAAAGATGGGCCGGTAGGTATATTGGGCGGAGTATAGAAATAGGGTATGGGTCCTACTTATTAAAACTACCACCTTAAACTCAAGTTTATATTACTCACCGTATCAATATAGACTTACGGATGGGCCCCCAACAGCATGCTACTGATAAATCTATGTCAAAGATACGCTTGTTATAATACATTTCACACTCGTTGGACTAAAACATTTTAGAGACCATAGTATCCTTTCATTTAGTCAAAATGGCGATGGCAAGACCCACGTTGAGTTCAGCAGTGCAATATGTCCAGATCGATGGACTTGTAAGTCATATTTCTACCACAAATCTAGCTCACATGACTAATGTAATGTTGCAATTAATGTTTAACCTTCTAATTCCTAAATTGTATTCAGAAATGTCGTTTTTGAAGGATTTTGAAGAACGCCTTTTCAGCTATCCATTCTTACATTATTACTGTCTTAGTTTCCCGGTTTAATTAGGCCTGAATGACTTTTTTAAAAACTTATTGTCGGAAGCAATTCATCTCTATGAACAATCCTATAAACAAAATCTATACCCGAAAGTTGTCCGCAAAGAAGTTGTCCACTAAGATTAGAATTACAATTGTACACATGTATAAATGCCGGCAAAGAATAATAATGTAACCGGCTTGATGTGAAAAAAGTAATTTCTTCAAAAATATTCTACTGCACTTAGTATATTGTTGGAAAATATATTGCACCATTGTTTCACAGACTATATAACAGCTTTATGAATGTTAAATCCTTATATTTGTGGGATTATCAGTTCCTAGTTTTGGAATCCCGACATTCTTAAGTACCAAGTACTAGAGACAGTTTGCAGATGAGATCTACATGTATCTGCAATGTTTAGCTCTTGACAACATTACGTTTTTGTTGTATTTATTATTGTGTTGTCAAATAGGTTTCTACAAGAACACAATCAAAATTTTAATTCTAAGTTATTAAGCTTTACATCTCATTTGGATATTGGTCTAGTATAATAATCATTGACTGGTAAAATGGGACATCCTTACAGTAATCTAATACAAAGCTAGCTAATCATGAAATAAAACACAGTGAATAGTAGTCATGACAGATAATGTGTGATGTTAAAAATAAATACTTTCCAACATTCTACCATTGTCTTAAAATCAGCATAGAGAAAAACTTTGCCAAGGTCAATATATCAGTAATTAATACCATGTAAGTAGAAAAAAAAACCTTTGTCTGATTAGTGAAAGCAGTTTTTAGAGGTTTTTTGCAGTTCTCTTAACACTGAAAAGAAGAATTCATCTTGGTGGTCAAATCAGATATTTACTTTCTCCACATAAAATCTAATAATAAAATGATTCTTTGATTCTCATGCTGTTCTGAAAAAAATTAGGGTCCATATCCACATTCCCATTGATAAGTATCAATATAAGAATTTAACAACTGAATGGGTAGGATAGGGATAATGAACATGAAGACTAAGAATTTCAGCGAAGAAATTCAATTAAGTCTTCAAAAATTAAGAATATGTAAAAGTGATTTGTTTGCAAAGCTTGTGCTGTCCATCATAATATTCTGCTACATTTCTACAAACAGATATACAACTTATTTGTTTACTTGTAGTTCTGTTTTATTTAATGCAGTGTCAAAGATGAGCAGATAGCCAAATAATTAAATCAATGTAGCTTAATATACCAGAGCTTCAATACCTGATTATTATGATTGGAAGAAGAAAAGGAATGATTACAGATATATAGATGCTACAACCCAACATTATCTTTACAACAAGAGTCTGATATAAAATGAGAAAGAAGGAGAACTGACTAACTAAAAACAAATTCTAGAATGTCAAAATTCATTTTTGAAATCTTTGAAAAAACAAAAAGATTTCCTTGCAGACCAGCCCTTATTTTGCTTGATTTTTTGTAGAAACTGGTGTATGTTTTTTCTTGCCAAATGAAATGGATTTGATATCAACATATTATTAATAAACTTAGTTTTGTACTCCAGGTTGTGCTGAAAGTGATCAAACATTGTCAAGAGGAGGGTGCAGGGGGCACAGATTTGGTCCAGGGAGTGTTACTGGGACTGGTGGTGGAGAATCGACTTGAGATCACAAATTGCTTCCCATTCCCCAGACATAATGAGGATGAGGATTTTGATGAAGGTTTGTAACAAAATCTAAGTATTGTGAATGTATGGTTTAAAGACATTTTGTAACACTGTAGAACACAAGGATTTGAATAATAAATATTTCAGTCATTTGGATTCAATCAAAAGATTAAAATTCTACACTCTGTGCTTATTAAATTGCTCAATTTTTAAAAAATAGTACTATATCAGTAATAATCTAGTGAAACCATTTGAACTGTCTATGATAGGAAACAGGATATAATCTTTGTTGGATGTTTTCAGATCTTTCACATTTTCTTCTTATTGCTAAATGAAGAAATATTTGATTTGTTGTTACTTAGAGTTTTGCTGCTGACCATTTCTTATGGATATTCATATAGTTTGGTCTTAATTTAACCATTTTGTTGTAATCTGCATGGTTTTGCATGTTTAACATAGAACTCCCCATACATAAGTTAAATGGAGCTATAGGTTTAAGTTGGAAGTGTCTTCAGGTATAAAGCTAGCAATCAGTGCGTCGCTTTCTTCATAGATATTCATCTCTAACATTATCAGAAATTTACATGTTAGTATATTATATACTTCCTATAATAACAGTTTTACTATTACAAGTTATTTTTTATTCCCTGTAATATTGATATGCAAAATTATGGTCCATTACTCTGGTTTTATTTCCAAGGTTGACCCAGATCCAGGCACTATTAATTGCTCACTGTACAGTGTTTTGTTATTTAGTTAACATATATTATGTTTCTTTATTTGTGTGATGGATTTGTTTACAGTCCAGTACCAGATGGAAATGATGAGGAATCTCCGCCATGTCAACATTGACCATCTGCACGTAGGATGGTATCAAAGTACATACTTCGGTTCCTTCATCAATAGACTTTTCCTTGATTCGCAGTTCAACTACCAACACTCAATAGAGGAATCTGTCGTCCTGATTTATGGTATGTTTGATGGGAAGCCAGATATTCCACACACCTTAGACAGATATTCCACAATCCCAGACAGGAATATCCCACACAGCTCAGACAGGGGTACACATCTCAGACAGGGATATCCCACACAGCTCAGACGGATACACATCTCAGACAGGGATATCCCACACAGCTCAGGCAGGGGTACACATCTCAGACAGGGATATCCCACACAACCTCAGTTTCCTTATTTGAACTATAATAGAATATTGATACATGCACATAGTGGGGAATTTGATTAATTTACAGGGCTCTCGATCTGACAGGGATATCCCACGCAGCTCAGACAGGGGTACACATCTCAGACAGGGATATCCCACACAGCTCAGACAGGGGTACACATCTCAGACAAGGAATATCCCACACAGCTCAGACAGGGGTACACATCTTAGACAGGGATATCCCACACAACCTCAGTTTTCTTATTTGAACTATAATAGAATATTGATACATGCACATAGTGGGGAATTTGATTAATTCCAAAATGTGATAAAATGTCAAGAATCAAGCTAAGGTGTAGGATAAGACAGAGGGAAAGAAACTAATGCCTTTGTACATATAATGTAGAAGCAGTAGTGCTGCAAGCATTTATTCATTTCTCTGGCTGAAGATCAAGATGGTTGATAGGTTTCATATCATGTTATGTCTCCATGTACTTAAACATTTGGAAACAAATTTACAACAAGACCACAGATCTAAAGTAAAATAATAGGTTTTAATACTAGACATTCTAGTTGAAAGTGGATTTTGGTGAAAGTCAAATATTGTCAGATGATTGTTTTTCAATTTTAAGAATTATATATTAGTCATTCTCTCTGCATCCATGCACAACTTTGTAGTTTGTTTGCATTGGAAGATGAATAAATACAATGTGTCGACATTTCAGATCCATTAAGAACCACAAAGGGATATCTGTCATTAAAAGCATACAGATTAACTAAGGAGATGATGGACTTCTATAGGGAAGGTGACTTCACTCCAGACAGTCTCAAGGATGCAGGCATCAGCTTCAAAAATATGCTTGAAGAAATCCCAGTCATCATAAGAAATTCACATCTTTGTAACAGCCTTCTTTGTGAAGTTGATCAGAGCTTGAATTCCAGTCAGAAATTTAACTTTCTTGACCTTGCAACAAGGTAAGTACTCGTAAATTCCTGATATTTATAGTTTTAAAATGCTGTGATTATATAATTAGCTTATTTAATTATGCTGATAAATTGCTGTATTAGTAAAATTTTGTTCAACCTATATAACAATTTTCTTAGGTGCTGTAATATATGATTTAAATATTAAGCTCTAACTTGTATTAGCATTCTGTGTGATATATCATTAGAGATACACTGCTGATGATCAGATGCTTCCATATATGCAAAGGGTCTGCAGTAGAATGTTCCTTATAATTTGAAATGGTGAACGTTTCCTCAGAAGTTGAGTATTGTTTTTATCTTGGAGCATTTTCGTGCGCGATATGATTGTATTGATTGCAGTAGAAGCTGCACTGTAGCATGGTTAGAAAGAACTTCTCTTTAGTGAGATCAGTTGAAACAATTAACAACCTCTATTACAGCTCCATGCTGGAGAAGAATCTCCGTCAGTTGATGGAATGTGTAGACGATGTGGCCATGGATGCTAACCGCTACCTCAATTTCCAGAGACAAGCTGCAAAACAGAAGCTACAAAAAGCACAATACCTGCAGAAAAGGGTATGTATGGGCTGTCCTATATATATTCAATTAACTTTCTACCATCACGTCTTAGTAAGCATCATGGTTATTGCTTTACTTCTTGACCCTGTTTCCCTTATCAAGTCTCCATGTTAGATACAGATTTATAGTTTTAACCCTTATTCTTGTTGTTGTTGTTCTTCTTCTTCTTCTTAAATTCTTCTTCTTCAAAACTATGAGTTGGATCTTCATCCAGATTTCATCAAACAACTTCCATTTTATGGCAAGATGACTGCCATTTTCCTGCTCCTAATTGGCTTATACCTTTTCACCTTGAACTTTTGTTCCATTTTACTTGTTCCTTATTAAATGTTAAGAGACATTCCTAATGTAATACATTTCACTGTAGTTGTTTCTTATCAAAAGTCAGGAGACATTCCTAATGAAGTTCTGTACAGTGGTGTTGTTTATTATCAAAAGTCAGGAGACATTCCTAATGAAGTTCTGTACAGTGGTGTTGTTTCTTATCAAAAGTCAGAAGAAATTCCTAATGAAGTTCTGTACAGTGGTGTTGTTTCTTATCAAAAGTCAGGAGACATTCCTAATGAAGTTCTGGACAGTGTAGTTGTTTCTTATCAGAAGTCAGGAGACATTCCTAATGAAGTTCTGTACAGTGGTGTTGTTTCTTATCAAAAGTCAGGAGACATTCCTAATGAAGTTCTGTACAGTGGTGTTGTTTCTTATCAAAAGTCAGGAGACATTCCTAATGAAGTTCTGTACAGTGGTGTTGTTTTTTATCAAAAGTCAGGAGACATTCCTAATGAAGTTCTGTACAGTGTAGTTGTTTCCTATTGTATTTATGAGAATAACATTGAACATACTGTCTAAGATATTAATCGATAATGTAACATGTTTGATCTCCAACAGACACAGGAGAATGCCCAGAGAGCACAGCATGGCGAACCTCCACTTCCTGATGAGGACATCAATAAATTGTTCAAACCTCTTCAGCCCATGGAACGCCTCAACAGCCTTCTCCTGGCTGGACAGATTGACAACTATTGTGCACAAGTTGGGGACTTTGCATCTCAGAGCTTAGGAAAATTGTTCTTGTCTGAAAGCTTGAAAAATAAACCTGCCGATAATTAGACATTATAATTGATCTTGACCTCTGAGAATAAATTTTATACCTGGAGAAAGGAACGGTGCAACAAACTTAGATAGACCATCTGACATGATAATGCCATCACCATTTTACAAACTAGATATTACAACACAAAATATGAAAGCTGTGAGATGGAAAATAAATTATTTCCAAATGAATATTGTCTCAGTTGTTTATTGTTGTTGTTACCATAGTAACTTAAACTATCATCTGTCACAGTAAAATTGCTGTTACTTCAACTATCTGTTGTTACCATAGTAACCTAAATTTTCATCTGTCACTGCAAAATTACTGTAACTACAAACTAGCTTTGTTGTTACCATAGTTACCAAAACTATCATCTGCCTCCTTAAATAACTGTTACTACAAACAATCTCTGTTGTTACCGTAGCTACCAAAACTGTCATCTGTTTAAATAACTTACTACAAACAATACCTGTTGTTACCATAGCTACCAAAACTGTCATCTGTTTAAATAACTCTTGCTACAAACAATCTCTGTTGTTACCGTAGCTACCAAAACTGTCATCTGTTTAAATAACTGTTACTACAAACAATCTCTGTTGTTACCGTAGCTACCAAAAATAACATCTGTTTAAATAACTATTTACTACAAATAATCTCTGTTGTTACTGTTACTACCAAGACTGTCATCTGTTTAAATAACTCTTGCTACAAACAATCTCTGTTTGTCATCTATGTAAATAACTGTTACTACAAACAATCTCTGTTGTTACCATAGCTACCCAAATTGTCATCTGTTTAAATAACTGTTACTACCAACCACCTGTTTGTTACTGTAGTGTTTACGTATCACTTGTCACAGCTTTTCAGAATAACACTGATTTAATTACATTTGGATGCCTACACTTCTTGGCAGAGATAAACACTCAGTAATATCTCTGTGTATGTCTGGTTTTAAATATGACATTAAACATCTTTTTAGTAACTGCATAAAATGCAAATTTAATACGTTTCGATACATTTCACATCTAAATGTACATATATTTTCAACAGATGAGATCATAGTCACATGTTCACCAAAACTAGTACAGTAATGATAAGATCATTGATAATGGAATGAATAATTCAACATTTATAATGCAAAATATCATAATACATTGGTTTCTCCACTCTTTACTCAATATAATATCAGTATTACCTTTTGTAGCAGTACACGGGTACCGGTTACCCGTATTTTTAAATAAAGCAAAATCGCTGTGTTTATTCTGACTTGTGAAATACATGTTTTACCAAAGAAGTAAAACACCACAAACGGTAGAGTAACGCCACAAGCTTGTTTAAATATTGTAAACACAGAAAGGAGGTAAAATCTATGACCTACTGGACGTGTAAAGTGAGTTGTTCAGCATGTGTGTCACGTAGTGGACGTGTACAGCGTGTTATTGTGTGTGTCATGTACTGGACGTGTATAACATGTTATTGTGTGTGTCACGTACTGGACGTGTATAACATGTTATTGTGTGTGTCACACACTGAATGTGTACAGCGTGATATTGTGTGTGTCACGTACTGGAGGTGTATAACATGTTATTGTGTGTGTCACGTACTGGACGTGTATAACATGTTATTGTGTGTGTCACACACTGAATGTGTACAGCGTGATATTGTGTGTGTCACGTACTGGAGGTGTATAACATGTTATTGTGTGTGTCACACACTGAATGTGTACAGCGTGATATTGTGTGTGTCACGTACTGGAGGTGTATAACATGTTATTGTGTGTGTCACGTACTGGACGTGTATAACATGTTATTGTGTGTGTCACGTTCTGGACGTGTATAACATGTTATTGTGTGTGTGTCACGTTATCGACGTGTACAGCATGTTGTGTGTGTCAAATACAGGACGTGTACGGCATGTTATTGTGTGTGTCACGCACTGGACGTGTATAACATGTTATTGTGTGTGTCACGTACTTGGTGTGTACGGCATGTTATTATGTGTGTCATGTACTGGACGTATACAGCGTGTTATTATGTGTGTCGTGTCAAGGACGTATACAGCGTGTTATTGTGTTTGTCAATCATTGGACGCGTACAATGTGTTATTATGTGTGTCACACCCTGGACGTGTATAACATGTTACTGTGTGTGTCACGTACTGGACGTGAACAGCGTGTTATCATTGTGTCACGGACTTGTAGTGTACGATGAGTTGTTTAACAGACCAGTATAGGATCTGTCTGTTTCTATGTCTACTATCTGAGTATAATGTCTCCTAGTACGGGCAGTGATCACAAACGGTTTACAGGAACACTTTCGTCCATACAAAAAACAGTTAAAGAGTCCTTGAAGCGGATTCATCAGTGCCTGAAACAGATACAAAGTATTGTTATAAGTGAATGCCATGTCGGGCAACAGTAACAACTTGTCAGTCAAAATCAAATAAAGCAACAACTTCGGCAACCTGAGTGTAGAAATAGGAAAAAGGTAACCATACCATACTGTTATTTGATGTTTTGTGAGACTAAGTATATAGTACCGTGAGAGAATGGTATTTTATAAGACTAAGTGTAGAGTGCAGTGAGAGAATGGTATTTTGTGAGACTAAGTGTAGAGTGCAGTGAGAGAATGATATTTTATGAGACTAAGTAAATAATACAGTGAGAGAATGATATTTTGTGAGACTAAGTATATAGTACAGTGAGAGAATGGTATTTTATGAGACTAAGTATAAAGTGCAGGGAGAGAATGATATTTTATGAGACTAAGTGTCGAGTGCAGTGAGAGAATGGATTTTGTGAGACCAAGTAAATAGTACAGTGAGAGAATGGTATTTTATAAGACTAAGTGTAGAGTGCAGTGAGAGAATGGTATTTTGTGAGACTAAGTGTAGAGTGCAGTGAGAGAATGATATTTTATGAGACTAAGTAAATAGTACAGTGAGAGAATGATATTTTGTGAGACTAAGTATATAGTACAGTGAGAGAATGGTATTTTATGAGACTAAGTATAAAGTGCAGTGAGAGAATGGTATTTTGTGAGACTAAGTGTAGAGTGCAGTGAGAGAATGGATTTTGTGAGATCAAGTAAATAGTACAGTGAGAGAATGGTATTTTATAAGACTAAGTGTAGAGTGCAGTGAGAGAATGGTATTTTGTGAGACTAAGTGTAGAGTGGAGTGAGAGAATGATATTTTTTGAGACTAAGTAAATAGTACAGTGAGAGAATGATGTTTTGTGAGACTAAGTATATAGTACAGTGAGAGAATGGTATTTCATGAGACTAAGTACAAAGTGCAGTGAGAGAATGATATTTTGTGAGACTAAGTATATAAATGAGAGAAGTACAAAGTGCAGTGAGAGAATGATATTTTGTGAGACTAAGTATCTAGTGCAGTGAGAGAATGGTATTTTGTGAGACTAAGTGTAGAGTGCAGTGAGAGAATGGTATTTTATAAGACTAAGTATATAGTGCAGTGAGAGGACGGTTTTTTGTGAGACTAAATATGTAGTGCAGTGAGACATTTTTTTTAGACTAAGTATAAAGTACAGTGAGAGAATGGTATTTTGTGAGACTAAGTGTAGAGTGCAGTGAGAGAATGGTATTTTGTGAGACTAAGTATATAGTACAGTGAGATCAGAATGATGTGATACTTCTTGAGACGATGGAGAGGAGTCTGTGTGAGACTGTTTTATATTTTGACAGATTGGATACAATTTTTAGCTAGACTTGAGACTGTTTACACCTACCTCTATGATCCACAATGGAAACAACCAGCTGTCCAACTGGTACAGGCATTCCCGTGTCAGGAGGTCTATATGGAAGAAACAGTCGACAATGTTTGGGAGCCAGCTGAAAAATCAAAGCCAAAATGGCGCATTGAAAAAATACGTTAAAAATTAAATCTCCCCTCCCCCGATCGGGGAGAATGACACAGCTGTGTCTAATACATGAAGGTCAAACCCCTCTTCGAGGAAGTAAAAGTATTGAAAAACTGCATTTAAAAATGGGAAGGGGTCTGAGGATTTCTATAGGGGGCGGGGGGACGAGGCCGAATTTATCAAAAGAAAATGTAACACGATGTTTCATGTAGGTATATGATTAACCTGTCTGAGAAGAAAGTGATAATCCTATCTAGTTACGTACCATAACGCAAAGAAAAACACGATCCAGAAAAATCGTATTCTCAACCGCTGGATAATAGCTCGCTCTTCACGACCAACTGTTGCAGTAAGTTTAGTAAACAATAAAGATACTGAAATATTTAAAACAAATTATAATTAAGACATGATGTAATTATCATATAATAGTTAGTATATCCATCCATACTGAATACATATCACATACCCGACACTGAATACATATCACATAAGAATATATAATAAAACTCAATTGAATATATATACACTACACTGAATACATATCACATACCCCGACACTGAATACATATCACATACTTCTACACTGAATACATATCACATACCCCGACACTGAATACATATCACATACCTCTACACTGAATACATATCACATACCCCGACACTGAATACATATCACATACCCCGACACTGAATACATATCACATACCTCTACACTGAATACATATCACATACCCCGACACTGAATACATATCACATACCCGACACTGAATACATATCACATACCCGACACTGAATACATATCACATACCTCTACACTGAATACATATCACATACCCCGACACTGAATACATATCACATACCCCGACACTGAATATATATCACATACCTCTACACTGAATACATATCACATACCCCGACACTGAATACATATCACATACCTCTACACTGAATACATATCACATACCCCGACACTGAATACATATCACATACCCCGACACTGAATATATATCACATACCACTACACTGAATACATATCACATACCTCTACACTGAATACATATCACATACCCCGACACTGAATACATATCACATACCTCTACACTGAATACATATCACATACCCCGACACTGAATACATATCACATACCTCTACACTGAATACATATCACATACCCCGACACTGAATACATATCACATACCCCGACACTGAATACATATCACATACCTCTACACTGAATACATATCACATACCCCGACACTGAATACATATCACATACCCCGACACTGAATACATATCACATACCCCGACACTGAATACATATCACATACCCCGACACTGAATACATATCACATATACCTACACTGAACATATCACATGACTGAATACATATCACATACCTCTACACTGAATACATATCACATCACATACATATCACATACCCCTACACTGAATACATATCTGAATACATACATACCCGACACTGAATACATATCACATACCTCTACACTGAATACATATCACATACCCCGACACTGAATATATATCACATATCACATACCTCTACACTGAATACATATCACATACCCACTGAATACATATCACATACCTCGACACTGAATACATATCACATACCCGACACTGAATACATATCACATACCTGAATACATATCACCGACACTGAATACATATCACATACGACCTGAATATATATCACACACTGAATACATATCACATACCCCTACACTGAATACATATCACATACCCCGACACTGAATACATATCACATACCCCGACACTGAATACATATCACATACCCTGACACTGAATACATATCACATACCCCGACACTGAATACATATCACATACCCCGACACTGAATACATATCACATACCCGACACTGAATACATATCACATACCCCGACACTGAATACATATCACATACACTGAATACATATCACCACTGACACTGAATACATATCACATACCCTACACTGAATACATATCACGACACTGAATACATATCACATACCCCGACACTGAATACATATCACATACCCGACACTGAATACATATCACATACCCCGACACTGAATACATATCACATACCCCGACACTGAATATATATCACATACCCGACACTGAATACATATCACATACCGCGACACTGAATACATATCACATACCTCTACACTGAATACATATCACATACCGACACTAAATATATATCACATACCCCGACACTGACACTGAATACATATCACATACCCCGACACTGAATACATATCACATACCCCGACACTGAATACATATCACATACCCCGACACTGAATACATATCACATACCCGACACTGAATACATATCACATACCCGACACTGAATACATATCACATACCCCGACACTGAATACATATCACATACCTCTACACTGAATACATATCACATACCCGACACTGAATACATATCACATACCCGACACTGAATACATATCACATACCCCGACACTGAATATATATCACATACCCCGACACTGAATATATGTCACATACCCGACACTGAATACATATCACATACCCGACACTGAATACATATCACATACCCGACACTGAATACATATCACATACCCGACACTGAATACATATCACATACCTCTACACTGAATACATATCACATACCCCGACACTGAATACATATCACATACCACTACACTGAATACATATCACATACCTCTACACTGAATACATATCACATACCCCGACACTGAATACATATCACATACCCCGACACTGAATACATATCACATACCCCTACACTGAATACATATCACATACCTCTACACTGAATATATATCACATACCCCGACACTGAATACATATCACATACCTCTACACTGAATACATATCACATACCTCTACACTGAATACATATCATATACCTCTACACTGAATACATATCACATACCCCGACACTGAATACATATCACATACCTCTACACTGAATACATATCACATACCCCGACACTGAATACATATCACATACCCCGACACTGAATACATATCACATACCCCGACACTGAATACATATCACATACCCCGACACTGAATACATATCACATACCTCTACACTGAATACATATCACATACCCCGACACTGAATATATATCACATACCCCGACACTGAATACATATCACATACCCCGACACTGAATACATATCACATAACTCTCAACTGACTACATATCACATAATTCTACACTGAATACATATCACATACCCCGACACTGAATACATATCACATACCCCTACACTGAATACTTTGTTTACACTGAATACATATCACATACCCCAACTGAATACATATCACATACCTCGACACTGAATACATATCACATACCCCGACACTGAATACATAGCACACACAGAATACATATCACATACCTCTTACACTGAATACATATCACCACGTCCGTTTGACACTGAATTCAATACATATCACATACAAAGGAATTATTGATTTCTACACTGAATACATATTACACTGAATACATATCACATACCCCTACAAAATGATATACATACATCACATGCTTTCCAGTACAGAATACACTGAATACATATCACATCCGGGACACCTCATGTAAATAACTGATGTGTACATTAAAATTGCAAGATATGCGCTGGACACTGACCACGTCCACAGATGGAACAGCTTCATTTGACTAAGTCATGTAAATAATGATGTGTACATTAAAATTGCAAGATATTCTTCCTTTAAACATTTTTTATCGTCTTATGACATAGACTTCTTGAAGTTTGATGAAATCTTACATATTTTGTATTACCTTGTTCTACAATGTAAATGGCGAACGAAGTGGTAGCATAACCCCTTAAGTGATTTTATTTTTTTTGTAACTGAAATAGATTAAAACCTTTTAAATTCGGTCGATAAAAAGCAGAATTGTAAATTACATCGGACTATCAATCAATCTCGAGTGCATATGATTCATCAACACGTGTATAAAACACTATACAGATTACACTGAGAGATTAATATAGATTGTAGGTAAACATGAAATATATTTATAGGTACTAGTGTATATGGAAAATAGATCTAGTTTTGTATTGACAGAGTTATAGTGAGATACTTACATATGTCTACCTACTAGCTGAGAATATATGTTAATAGCAAATGAGAGTGTCCACATGGCGGACGCCACGTAACTGAAGTCAGTAAAGGCCTAGGGGAGAAGAAAAAAATCAAATCAAAGAAACAGACAAAAAACAAACAAACAAACAAACAAAAAAACAAACACACCAGATTTTCGTATGATTTCAGATATAGCCCCCATTTACGGTGGCAGTTTACAATTTGGACGTAAGAAAATGACATACATTCCTACACAGTAGACAAGTGATTAGACTGCAAACAAACACGTAAAATCGAATACTATATATTGTATGCCAAATTTTCTACCTCTGTCAAACGGGAAATTGTGATCATTTATTTCATTTCAAGTCAACTTGTATTTTAACCATTCAAAATAACGAGGAAGGAATGCTTCGCTTAGTTAATGAATTCTTCACCTCTAAAATGCCACCGGCGACCTTGACCTCTTTGCTGACCATAGGAATGAACGAAGTATCACCATAAGTAGGGCATGTGGATGTCAAAGTCGTATTTGTCGAATCCGCCATAGATGGAGGTTTCACGACAAAGGTAGCCACAGACCGCAACACAGAACCTGGAATTATAACCGAGGTTAACAAGATTATCAAACTTTAAAATATCACAACGGTGTCGAATCTATCCGACCACGAGGTCAGTTTGTTGTCAGAAACCACAGTATCACAGGGATGGTAACACGGGGTGAGATTGGTGTCAGACAACACTGTCACAGGGATGGTAACACGAGGTTAGATTGGTGTCAGACACAACACTATCACAGGAATGGTAACACGAGATGTGATTGGTGTCAGACACAACACTATCACAGGGATGGTAACACGAGGTGTGATTGGTGTCAGACACAACACTATCACAGGGATGGTAACACGAGGTTAGATTGGTGTCAGACACAACACTATCACAGGGATGGTAACACGAGGTTAGATTGGTGTCAGACACAACACTATCACAGGGATGGTAACACGAGATGAGATTGGTGTCAGACACAACACTATCACAGGGATGGTAACACGAGGTTAGATTGGTGTCAGACACAACACTATCACAGGGATGGTAACACGAGGTTAGATTGGTGTCAGACACAACACTATCACAACACTATCACAGGGATGGTAACACGAGGTGTGATTGGTGTCAGACACAACACTATCACAGGAATGGTAACACGAGATGTGATTGGTGTCAGACACAACACTATCACAGGGATGGTAACACGAGGTGTGATTGGTGTCAGACACAACACTATCACAGGGATGGTAACACGAGGTGTGATTGGTGTCAGACACAACACTATCACAGGGATGGTAACACGAGGTGTGATTGGTGTCAGACACAACACTATCACAGGGATGGTAACACGAGATGTGATTGGTGTCAGACACAACACTATCACAGGGATGGTAACACGAGATGAGATTGGTGTCAGACACAACACTATCACAGGGATGGTAACACGAGGTGAGATTGGTGTCAGACACAACACTATCACAGGGATGGTAACACGAGGTGAGATTGGTGTCAGACACAACACCATCACAGGGATGTTAACACGAAGTGAGATTGGTGTCAGACACAACAATGTAAGAGTCACATACCGACACATGAGGTGAGATTTGTGACCGCCAGGAACAATACTATCATTGGGTTTGGCTGTATCGAGTGTCGTTGCTGTTTCTCTTTGTTGTTGATCCGCCTCAGAAAGTCCTGTGTCTCCGGACCGTAAGTGATTATCTGCCAGGAAGCACCGAAAATTCCTAAAGACGCTGAGAGGAGACTTATAATGGTGTACACGAGTCTTTTCTGCTGTGGAAGCTCATGTTCACTTATACAGTAAAAAGAAGAGTCGTGAAGGGATGCCATTTGTAGGGCAAAACACTTGCGAATCTCCAATTGAAATCTATATTTGAATTTTCAAATCTTTCTGATTTTAAACTTCACTAAATTTCACAAATCTGACAATGTGACATAAACCATGTCCATAAGTCAGTTCCCGCCTCGTAACCATTCCTGTTCTGAAGAAAGAATAATGTGTTGCCGTAGACATAAGTTAAAGCTATGGACATATCTAAACACACGTGTAATACACTGATGTGTGATGTCCTTAACCATTCGAGGTGTACCGAATAATGACCATGTACAAACAGATATGTAGCCTCACGGCTCGGCACGTGATTAGATAACAAATAGGAAGCACGAGGCACATTGTTTATATATAGATAATTCACATCATTTGTGATGTATCAGACATTATTGTATTTTTTTTCCTCGTTTAATGGATTGGAAGATACAGACTAGTAAAATTCTGAAATAAAGAAATAAATGAATAATTATGCTATCATAAGTATATTAACACTTATTAGGGTAATTTGTTATCATTACAGATGTAATGATACATAGCAGGTCTGTGATTGGCTGTAGGTTTCCATTGTATCGAGAGCGTGACATCATAACTTCATAGCGTCATGAGTTCAGTATACCTTGCAAGAAAGGCAATAAATAAAAAAGGCAAAAAAAAAAAAATATATAATCATTTCATTTCACAAATACCTCACGGAAAAGGAAATCATGAAGACGGTGGTTCAAAGGTGATATTCTGCGTTCTATTCCAATCCACAAAGACAACCTCGATCTAGAAATTATCACTCTTCCTTGATCATCTTATCATTTTTTTTTATAATCTGTGACGTAGATGTGACCTTCGTGACAATGATTGGTACCCCTGTCACTGCCATTGTCTTGTTCAGGAGCAAGATCCCGCAAAACACGTCTATTTCGTGACAGTATTGTTAAAAAGATTCGAACTTCTTGGTATTATTTTTTGTTAAATAACCCGATGTTTACGTGTAAGAATAATAACAACATAAAAAACACACACACACAAACACACACACACACACACACAAAAACACACACACAAAACCCCAACAACAACAACAAGAAAACAAAAACAAACAAAAAATGACACCGTCGAATTTCAGCAACTGGCCTTGACTATATATATTTATACAGACAATAACTTTTATATCACTGCTTTGTCATTGAACTCTGTAGACTTATCAGTGTGATAGCGACGTGCGATAAGATTGTTGGGTATGAGTCCAATCAAATGAAAGGACAACGGGTAAGGGAATAATTTTCACACGTTCCCGATGAAACATAGAAATTGCATGTAAGGTGGGTCTGAATCATTCTTTAATGTTGCTCCCCATGCTCCTACTCCGCGTATTGGAAACCGATTTTTGTTTTTTTCTTTGTCATGAAATGCGACAATGAAAAACTTGTAATTTTGAAAACACGGTGTCCTCCCAAGTTCAACGGAAACAAGTTATTTATTTATTTATTTATTTATTTATTTATTTATTTATTTATTCAATAGGCTATTTCGTTAAATTTTGAAGTGTCATCATGGCATACTAGAGTTGTTTGTAAACTGTATTTACGTGAAGTTATTCTAGCTTCAATTGGCTGTTTTATGATGGTTACAGAAAATAGAGATGGTCTTATATCAGTATTAAGATACTTACTGACCAATCCTATTGTCATATCTGCCTTCGTAAATAAAAAATAAACTAAACAAACCGTGTTCCTTCTTACGAGTATTCAGTCCGAATTATTATGACCCGTTCTATCGACTGTTATTTATCGACGTAAATTCGATGAACAATTATGCATGTAATAAATATTCCATTGTATCCATATTTTTAGTTCACTCTGATTAAAATAAATGTTGCGATGCTAATGTAAGTATCTTTAAAAAATTCTATATTCTGGTTTAAATATTGATTTCGAGTCTAAATTAGTGTATTGCAACCTAGAGTTTTAATGTGTGGAGGTGTGTCCCGAGTTATAGCCCCTTCCGACCTTGACATGGGGTAATCATACGATACAAGTTGCGGTGGCATAATTGTGGACTAAACGTGGCCAAATAGGTAGGTAAAATCGACCTAATTCGTCTGAAAGTGTTTGATACTGTAATCTTTTATTGTAAGAATGTATTCCTGTAAGCGAGTATATTATTCAAAGAATTTTAGTCTTCAACACACAGCGATACAAGCGGGAAATGAATCGTGGTCATGTTCGCGTCAGTCAATCGAAGACAATGCAAATGCCAACACAATTTTGTTTATTTATTTATCTCTTTTCGGTCCGTTGAAAAGGGTAACACGCTACATTATGATAATGTTTTCACGAATTTCACAGTAATATCAAAATCATTGACTGAAAATGGAGAAGGCTCATGGGAACCCATTTTTGGGGAAAATGTAGTGTTTATTTTTATCCAAATTCATGGATTCAGTATGAGATTTTTGTGGTAAACGTTATCTTTACCAAGCAATATCAAATTAAATAGCGTAGTATTTTTGTAAACTGACAAGACCTTTGTAAAAAATAAAGTCGTTTGAATTTGGCATGAAAAAGGATTATCTTGCCCGTAACTCTAATATTGTATTGTATTGCGATATTTGTGAAATTTATGTTGGTATATTTTGAAGAGAATATTGATGTTTTTCCAGAACATATCAGACAGTGCGATGTCAAGCACTGGGTAAATGTCTGCTAATGAAGAGTCTGGATTAAAATGCAATTTCAGAAATATTACAGATATTCATTGTGCTTGATATCGTATTCTAGGCATTACTTGAATTGAAGTTATGTAATTTACTCACATACTGTAAGTGTCGATTTCAATGAAAAAAAAACCAAAGCAAATATTGTGTGTTACTTTTAGATGATTTTCATGTGAAAAAGCACATAAATGACTAATGAAGAAGACACTGCTGCCCTTTTTTGTTTGTCAATCACTGCAATTACATTTTCTGTTAGTTTTCCTGGATAAATGGAAGATAATGAGAGAAAGCTTTATATAGCGGATTAAAGCACTGTACATACTCCCTTCGACTGATGTTACATTTCTAAGGTAAAACTTCAACTGTTCCTAAAAATAATGCATAGCGATAAAATTTGATTTGATAGATCAAAGATGTGTCATCCTTTTTATCTACAAAATTGTAACAAAGTGCACATACATTATGGCATCATGGTGATGGATCCCCAACCAGTATGATATTTACCCTGCATGGTCTAAAAAATGTGCCATTACCAAATCACAACTGTACCCACTATTATAAACCTAGCCTGTGTCTATTGTGACTCTATAGATGACAGCCACCCTACTTACTTTTAACAGTAGTCAACATGTTGCTGGGTAATAAATTGGCTGACAAGCAAGCATATTTATAGGCCTAAAGGAGTACAGGTTATAAAATAAATTTTACTTTGTAATACTAAGGTGAGTCTGAGAGCCGCTTTTAATGTATAAGGTAACTTAAATGACATCTTCCTAAATCTGATACCTATTTTTCTGGTTATGAAGTACACAATGAAATGAAATGTGAATAAAGTGTATGAAATGCAGAGTGCAATACTTTGAAATTTTGAACTGACCTATTACTGATGAAATCTATTGAAAAAACTACATTAAGTAATGCAAGTATCAACAGTGATATTTACAAAAGAAGTGATTTTCAGTATCTGTATAACATGTTAATACAATGGTACTAGGTAGCTGTTGTTTAAGATGTGCTTGCTATATCTGATTGTAGAAGACAAATTGTTGCCCCATCTCCATCTTCTGCAGGACCATGTAATTGTCATTGAGAGCCCAAGAATGTTATGAATATGACCTTCTGTGTCTGTATATCTGATAGAATGTTATGAATATGACCTTCTGTGTCTGTATATCTGATTAGAATGTTATGAATATGACCTTCTGTGTCTGTATATCTGTTTAGAATGTTATGAATATGACCTTCTGTGTCTGTAAATCTGATAGAATGTTATGAATATGACCTTCTGTGTCTGTATATCTGATAGAATGTTATGAATATGACCTTCTGTGTCTGTATATCTGATAGAATGTTATGAATATGACCTTCTGTGTCTGTATATCTGATTAGAATGTTATGAATATGACCTTCTGTGTCTGTATACCTTCTGTGTCTGTATATTAGAATGTTATGAATATGACCTTCTGTGTCTGTATATCTGTATATTAGAATGTTATGAATATGACCTTCTGTGTCTGTATATCTGATTAGAATGTTATGAATATGACCTTCTGTGTCTCTATATCTGATTAGAATGTTATGAATATGACCTTCTGTGTCTCTATATCTGATTAGAATGTTATGAATATGACCTTCTGTGTCTGTATATCTGATTAGAATGTTATGAATATGACCTTCTGTGTCTGTATATCTGATTAGAATGTTATGAATATGACCTTCTGTGTCTGTATATCTGATTAGAATGTTATGAATATGACCTTCTGTGTCTGTATATCTGATTAGAATGTTATGAATATGACCTTCTGTGTCTGTATATCTGATTAGAATGTTATGAATATGACCCTCTGTGTCTGTATATCTGATTAGAATGTTATGAATATGACCTTCTGTGTCTGTATATCTGATTAGAATGTTATGAATATGACCTTCTGTGTCTGTATATCTGATAGAATGTTATGAATATGACCTTCTGTGTCTGTATATCTGATAAGAATGTTATGAATATGACCTTCTGTGTCTGTATATCTGATAGAATGTTATGAATATGACCTTCTGTGTCTGTATATCTGATAGAATGTTATGAATATGACCTTCTGTGTCTGTATATCTGATTAGAATGTTATGAATATGACCTTCTGTGTCTGTATATCTGATAGAATGTTATGAATATGACCTTCTGTGTCTGTATATCTGATAGAATGTTATGAATATGACCTTCTGTGTCTGTATATCTGATAGAATGTTATGAATATGACCTTCTGTGTCTGTATATCTGATTAGAATGTTATGAATATGACCTTCTGTGTCTGTATATCTGATAGAATGTTATGAATATGACCTTCTTTGTCTGTATATCTGATAGAATGTTATGAATATGACCTTCTGTGTCTGTATATCATGATAGAATGTTATGAATATGACCTTCTGTGTCTGTATATTGATGAATGTTATGAATATGACCTTCTGTGTCTGTATATCTGATCAGTATGTTATGAATATGACCTTCTGTGTCTGTATATCTGATAAAAATCATATAGGAGATGACTAAATGTGGATCCCCCTGCTGGTCATTTGGATTCCTCTTTATCCAGTATATCTAGATCTGTCCAGTCTTGTGACACTTTTTTTATAGGTATCCCATAGATATATCTCCTGATATGACTGAAGTTTTATGAAAATGTTTGGTAAACAAAAAATGTATCGGATAATCATGTTCTTATATGTTTTATCTTGTGCTCTTGCCCAATACCAGAAATCAACAGCTTCAAATTGTGTAAAATGCATGTACGTAAGGAGATTAGGATTCAACAGCTTCTGCTTGGGTTGTAGTCATTGATACTTTAGGTTTCTTGCACTGGACGTCCACTAAAAGCTTACAAATGCAACTTTATACCCTAGAATTTATTATATCCAGTAACTTTACATAGTGAAACTTTGCTGCATAGATGTACATGAATGAGGAGAGTCGCAATTGTTGTTAATGAGTTGTAGCCATTGTCATGATCAAGTGCTGATATCGGAAGAGTTACTCAACTGTTCCTACGTTACTAGTTGGATGCAAAGGATTGCATTGTTACTATACACAAAAGTTCACAGGTGTGCTAAAGAAAGTAACTGTATTGCTGTCAAGCTGTCATGTTGACGTGGCAATTTCACATATATTTAAGCTGCAGTTGTAGGATTGAGGACAGAAATGGACTGCAAACATGATTTTTGCGAAGAAGAGAGTTTTTTTTTGTCAGACGTGCTGAATACCTAGTTTTTAAGAGACTATGTTTAAATGTTTGAACAAAATAACTACTGGTGTTAAAAGGTCTTGTCTCCTTGTAGTCTGTTCACTTATCAAATGTTTTATAAACACTTGTGTATCCATTTAAAAACCTACCTTTTTTTAACCTGTGGTATTGCCAAAACGTAAATTGATCAAATTTGATAGATAAATTGCCAGGTGTTTTTACTTCATTAATAATTCATTATGATTTATGTAAATAATTTCATGATATGAAAAACAGTGATTTGGCAAAAGATGTTACATTAAAATTTTGCTCTACTTTTTAATTGATTTGAATGATTAGCTTTTCAGGTAAATACAGATAGTATTGTATAGGTGGTGATATATGCAGGGGATTTGATTTCCCTACATTTGTAGTCCATATATATAAGGCAAAATCAAATACCTAGCAGAGATTTCTGCAGTTAATGAAAACCTCAGAAAATATTTCTTTCTATGTATACATGGACACCAGTTAATAGATATGTGTAAAATTTGATAACCATTTAATAAGCTCAAACAATGAAAACTTCAAAATATCAGCCCAGCAAAATTTAAGAACTTGACAATTATAGTAATAACAATATTTTCAAATTTTATCGGATGTATAATAAATGTTATTTTATAACAAAAAAAATAGAGAATTATTCAGTATTTGTATAGAATTGAAAATTTTCGAATTTGTGAAACAGGATTTTGATGCCATTTTTATAGGCAGCCAATAACATCATTGCCATTTTCTGGCTTCCCATTCAAAAGTAAATATATATACTGATTGTACCAAATCTGTTAAATGGTATAAAGATGATTTATCATGTCTTTTACAGGAACAAGATGAAGTGAATATTGACTGACAACATTCCTTATACAGAAAGTTATGATCGCTTCATGATGGTATGGATGATAGTTGCTGGAATTGTGCGGAAAGATGATTGACCCACGTGGACATTGGTCATCTGAGAGCCTGAGGTCCTTTGTATGTTCTGACAAGGACTTCTTTCATTGCTTCACACCATTGTCCTTCTCCATCAGTCATGAGTTCCTCCAAGTTGACCGATTTACTTTGTAAGGGCCAACATGATATCGATCCAAATGAGAATCACAAAACTTCGACAGGAAGTAGTGAAAATAGTAGTCGGAAGGGTCTAGCATCGTTTATGGTATCTGTTACGGTGATGCGAAGACGAAGAACATCTCCACAAGTTTTACTTAAGGCTAGCATTACAACGGTTTTGGTGGTGACTATCGGATTCATAGTATTGTATACTATTCTGTTGAAGTATTTCTCCAACACTGTGCCTTATGTACCTGAGGAATGGGAGCGGATACGCAGTCAGTTCCACACTCATCACAGGCCAAAACTTATACCCAGGCCCATGGACCTAGACCCAAGTGACTATGTGACTTCAGAAATAAAATATAGACCTCCAAAATGGAATATATCAAATTATGATTTTAATAATAATTTAGACAATACCAAGTTATGTAGACAGAAATTTCAGTATTTAGTGATCATAGTGTCAACTAGGACAGAGTTTGAACGTCGAATTGCAATAAGAAACTCCTGGTGCCGACCTCAGAGATACAATCTGCCTTCGGATGCCTGGGGATGTGTCTTTCTTTTAGGAGTTGGTTCACAACAGGAACCGAACAGAGAAACAGTGGATCAACGAATAGATCTGGAAATTAAAACCTACAATGATATTCTCAAAGGCAGCTACATTGATTCTTACAGGAATCTCACCTATAAGGTACTACATGGACTTCATTGGGCCAGCAGGTCATGTCCTACAGAGTTCGTGCTGAAGACAGATGACGATTGTTTCGTCAATACTCACCTGTTACATATACTCATACTGCATCATAGAGATGCTATGAACCTGTACATAGGTAGTGTATCTAGTAAACAACATGAGGTGCTGAGAGACCCAAACAGTGTGTGGTATGTGTCGGAAGAGTTGTATGCTGAAAATTTTTATCCTAGGTACGCCAGCGGGGCTGGCTATCTGTTGTCCTCTGATGTAGTGACTAGACTTATAGACGTGAGCCGATATAGAATACCCATTCCTAATGAGGATGCCTACATAGGAATCCTTGCACAAGACATTGATGTGAAGCCTTTACAAAGCGGCCGGTTCACGCTGATGAGCATAGGCTGGACGCTGTGTAATTACCTCTACCTAGTGGTGATCCATAAGGTGCTGCCCGACCAACAGGAGGACATGCTTAACAACACCATAAGAGCCAGAACCAGTCATTTGTGTACACCCACACCTAATGAGCAGCGACTCACCTGGAACTAGACCATACACTGGTAGGTATATGTTGTATAGTTCACCTAGAACCATGACAGGTTCATAAACTTTCACCTGGAACAACAGTACAGATAGACACAGCTGGTGTAGGTACACTTTAAAAAGGGTATGTGTAGACGCCAGGAACTAGCTAGGTACAGGTAGACACCAGGAACTAGCTAGGTACAGGTAGACACCTGAACTAGCTAGGTACAGGTAGACACCTGAACTAGCTTGGTACTGGTACCATAGACACCAGGAACTAGCTAGGTACAGGTAGACACCAGGAACTAGCTAGGAACAGGTAGACACCAGGAACAAGAGTACATGTACATAGACACCAGGAACTAGCTAGGTACAGGTAGACACCAGGAACTAGCTAGGTACAGGTAAACAACAAGAACTAGCTAGGTACAGGTAGACACCAGGAACTAGCTAGGTACATGTAGACACCAGGAACTAGCTAGGTACATGTAGATACCAGGAACTAGCTAGGTACATGTAGACACCAGGAACTAGCTAGGTTCAGGTAGACATTAGGAACTTGGGTACATGTGCAAAGACACCAGGAACTATGGTACAGAGAGATACAGCTGGTAGGTACACTTCCTAAATATTTATGTGGAACTATGGTATAAACACTGTTGGTAAGTACAATTTAGAAAGATTCACTTGGAACAAGGGTATTGGAAGACACAAAGAATTACATGTAGGGTAAAGGTAGACAGAGTACAAAAAATCGCTTATTACTAAATGAAAACGTAGAGGCATTGTTATGTATGTTACTTTTCACCCGGAAATGAAGGCTCATTTATCATTGATTAATTAATTTTATCTTATTGATACACAAAAATGTGACCAGTCACGTCTTATTATCAGAGAGTTTCCTTGTCTGTACCTTATTACATGAATAAATACAGATATCAACTTTATTTATTTATTTTTTTATTTATCTTACTACCGGCACATACTATAGATGTTCAAATGAAATCAACTTAAATCTTTTTACGAAGCTTGAATGACAGCTCGGGAGACCATCTTCTTTCACTGCAGGTTTAATTAAGACTTCACTGATTTACATTAAGGACATTTTTTGAGGTGTTGAAGTTCATCATGTTATTGTTAAATAAATAAAAAAGTCTATATCCTTGTCAGGAAAGGTGTAATTCCATTGATGTCTGTTTTTTTTTTCATAGGTTTGACTGGGCAGAAATGGTATTAATTGTGATCGTGGACTAAATGCAGCCTCCAAAAACACTTCAAATGTTGTGTATATATAATTACACCCAGAACTGATGGATGACTCTCAGTTATATAGAGATCATAATCACCTTCAGACCTCAGGATGGATTTGGCAGAACTTTCCTGTACATTAGGACCAGACAGCATAGTTGTAGATTTGTACTGGACATCAAGGAGTTTGTATTGTTCAGTTACATCTGTTTACAACTGGTTTTACAGTTGTATAATGCATTGTAACTACCTTTCAACTTTAGATACAAACTTGTAAGGATTATGTTTTTTTCTGTAATATTTGATTTTATACAATAAATTGTTGTGCTCTACAAAATACATGTATTAAGTTGGACCTAATAAGGATATACACTATGTATGTACATTTAACTCTCTCCAGGAATAGTTTTATACAGATTGTGTGGCAAATTTATACCATTCTATGTTTTTGAATATCAACTTATTGTGTTTTGTTTGAAATAATTTGTGAGTGTTTACACAACCTAATAATATGTTATACAACACATAGTATGTAGTACTACAATGGTTACTGGTTTACAATGTCAGGAAATGAGATTTCATAAAACAATTTAATATGTACATACGAAGTGAAGCATAATATGACAGCTGCAATCTAAGATGGTATTTTTTTCATGAGTTTTTTTAGATAATATGAAATACAACTTATTTGAATATTAGACATTTCAGTTTTTCTCAGTGTAAAAATTAGTTGAATGATCTTCTTAATTGGAATCGTGATAAATTTTGATGGTTGATGTGATTTTGAAATAGATGAAGTCCTCAAAACTGCTATTTTAGACACTGAAGGTCATATCAGTGAAAATATCCTTGTAACTTTTTTTCCCTTTTTTTTGTCTTGAGTCCTGTCCAGTAATGTACTGAATATTAAGTTCCTGGTAAATTGAATGTTAAAATCCATGAGAATGAATATTATATATATGTAAGAAATGAAAGACACACAGCCATATTGTGTTCATAAGTTTAAACAATGCATTAAGTATATATTGTTATCTCCCTGTGGATGCAATGAAATACAATCACAACACATCTCAGCGGTTTTTTGTATGTAATTTATGTTATGGCGGGCGACCGGTTTCACATTTTTGGTGATGCTTCATCAGAACTGTTTTTAAAGTGAAATGTTGTGAACCTCTCTCTGAGTTACGCACATTCATGAAAAGAACCACAAGAGTCAGACAGCACAGACAACATCTGCCTCGATGAGAACCTTACAAAGGAACACCACACTGGAAACCATGTCTACAAAATATTCTAATGACTGATCAATTATAACCTTCACTACTACAAACTTTATGTTTTGTATAAATATATCAACATTTGTTCACTATGAACCCTGTGTTTAAACAATAATGACTTTAAAATTCTCTTTAGATATTTTCTACTTATGTTCTATTTATAGCGTCTGTGTACAACTATTTTTGACCTACTTCACCGCCTTAACTAACTAAACTTTGAAATTCAATATTTCTCTGTAAAAGCAATTCTAATGAAGCATCACCTACAATGGAAAACTGGTTAACCACCCTAATGCAGCAAATTAAATACAAAAAAATGCGGAGGTGTGTTGTGGTTGTATATTTCATTACATCCACTTTCTTTTACAACGTCCCTACATACCTGAAGGTATCCACACAGACAGCAAGGTACTTAAGTGTAGCTGAAACTTCTTGGCATCCTGATGTTGGTTCCAAACTCTGAACTCTTATTTTTATTTTTCTGCTACAAAGCATAGTTGTTGTAATATCAGGATTGAACCTTTTAAGAAATGATCACTTTCTCCTGAAAAAGAAAGCAGATTTTTTAATAACAGAATAATGATAAAATCTACCGGACATGAAATTCCACACTACAGTACTGCTACTTCAGTTTTTGGTTGCTGTTTTTGGTTAGTTTTTCTTGATTTGAGGAGAATAGTAAGAGTTTGTGGAACTTCATAACCAGTAGCCAAAACTAGACTGTGTATTAAACCTTGGTCAGCATACCAAGGATATATATAAATGACCAAATTTAATATGGATGATTAACTTTAGAACCATAGCCAAATTAATGATGAAAATTTGTGGTAAAAAAGTCAGATTGGGGTAATTGTATGGTAGTATGGGTGTGACCACCGCATATTCATTTTCAAATTAGTCCTTATATGTAAGATCTTAGCACAGTCTAGATTTTGACTTTGGTTCTAATTATCGGAAAGTTTTGAATTTTATCAAAGTAAATTAGATTCGTTCTTATTGGAAGACCAAAATATCACAGACAATGCCTGGAGAAGGCCAGATGCCGAGAAGTCGCATGGTGCACGCAGTACACTAATTTGCTGATCTGATATGTAATCCTCTAAGGCTGTTGGTACACACTTTAGACAATTAGACAACCACTTTAGTATCATTTAAACCAATACTTTGGTTTGAAAGGTTTCACTGCTAACTTCACAAACATTTATTATTGTGTCTGGTACAACATTATCTGTAATTGTATTCAATTATGAAAATTATTTACTGCGAGTCTGTGTTTGGTTTGTGTGTGCATCTGTAAAACAAAAAATGCATGTGATCTTGGAATCTTTAAGTTTGACTGAAAACCGTTAAAATCTTATTAGTTTTAGAACTTGATGTGATGGTATGGTGTGAATATGACATCCACACAATATCATTGTACGTAAAATTTTGTGCCACACCTGGTCTGGGATCAAACTTAAAGGTTCCAAGATCATATGTTATAGAATTTGAAATTCGGAAGCCTGAATGCAAAAAATCTCATGATCTTCTCAGCTGGTTTAGCATCTTTAGTAATATGAATTACCATCAAGTTTTAAGTGGACTCAGTCATATACCTGATTTAACGGTCATTGGTTAAGTTTAAGGGTCAAGGGTCACACTTTACAACTCAGAGAATAAAGAGATAAACAGATTGGGGTGTATCTATGTGAGCCTCTGCTCACTTTGTTTTTCGTCAAATCATTGAAATACTGTGTTAGAGTGATTTGATCAGATTGGCAAGCTTTGCTACATCTAATTATCTTCTGTCCCCAAGACTTTGACTTAATGGTAACTCATACTGATATAATGGTCCTTATTTCAGTTATATCGTCAATGAGACATATTTGTACCCGAAAACTTACATTTGTATTGGTTGACTAGGTTAAACTTGTGCAAATGTTTGGTAGGCATTTTTGTATGATTTTATATCAAAACGTCATAATTTGCTTTTGTGTGGCAGACAGAGTCATAGTTTTCTACAGAGTTTTGAATTTCTTTTGAATTTCTTTTTTTGTTATGTCTGATGGATGAACATTGCATTCGATACTGGAAACACAAACACAAATGTAACAGATGATTTAAAAAGTCTTGTTCTGCTGTTGTCGTATTGAACACCATAGAATTGTCATAGGGGCAGAACAAATATGAGTCAAAGATACAGGATTTTTAGAAGAAAACCATCTAGAGAGAATGACATAGTGACTTGATTCAGGGTCACTGACAGGCTCTGAATTAATATATTGATGAGGCTATGAATCTCCCTAATTCATCTGTATTTATATTGAAAGCTATCTGGTTTTATAAGTATATTTTTGATGACAAGATTCAACTTTGTCCTGTTTTTTTTTTTTTTTGTTTGATTTACCACATCAGATCATTGTCAGGGATAGCTAACTTTTAATTTGCTTGATACTATGACATAGTGTATGACATAGGGGTGATGGAATATGTAAGGCTGAGACATGACAAGGAAGTCAGACTATCCGAATATTGTCATGTAAAGGTGCATAACTCCTTTGGCACTAGTAGTTTTAGCAATGTGGTGTGATTTAAGGTCAATTTGAATATAAAAACAAGTGTAAATATAGAGGTGTACATCTCTCACTCTAACTCTACTGGAGTTCCTTTGCAATGCCTTTCGATATTGTTTCTGTTGGCTGTTGTTAACTATTAACTCTTGACTCTAGCTAGGTCACTTAGTGCATTAGATGTGTGTTAAGTTTGTAGTCTATTTTTAGTTGATAGATCTCTGTACTGGTGTAGGTGTTGACATGTGTGATGTTGATTGTTAATGATAAAAGGACATATTTGTAATTTATATATATGCCTCCCATCACCTCCGATAACAATATGCGACTTGCATGATTTTTAAAAAAAAAAAAATAGTTCGGGTTCAGTATGTTTGCACAAAACATTTTAATTTTTTTTTTATATAACTGTGTTTTTCTACAAACAAAATGTAATAAAGTCTTGTAGCTTATAAAGAATATGTAACACCAGTAATTCATGTTAATGCTAATTTTTCAAGTTTCTATTTTTAACAAGGGAACAAACATGTTTTTAAAGGAGTTTTTTTTTTTTTAATTTAATCTTAATGTAATTTTGAATGTTAATCACCTATTTGGTTTGCACTTTGTTTATGATATTGATTATGCTTGTAATATTTTCCCCACGTCAGGTAAGTGTTTTAGAATGTCATAACATGCTGGTTCTGTAGCTTAATATCCAAGTAGATAACAAGTTAAGTGTTGTTAGTAAGATCGATGTGTTTGTATATTCAGAATACACTAAAGGTGTTGGATTTCTGCATATCATTCCTGTCTACTACACACTGTGGGAGAGCTTTAAAGTATTCTGTAACCCAAGCAACCTGTTAAATTTTTTAAGGCGTTGTCTAAAGCGTACGTAAAGAAAGAAGGATTTGGTGAAGTGTATTTGATTGTAAAAAAGCTTTAAAGTTTTAAATTGTTGGAATATCTTAGGCTTATCTAGTCTCCTCTACACAGTTTTGTTTGAAGTTAGGGCAATATTTTTACTTCATGCATTTGAGTGTGGTGTTGGTCTATGAACTGTGATAATCACTTGTTTTATTAATTTCTTTGTCAAAGTGTTAAAATGAGATTATGATTCTGGAAAGGGAACTGGTCTTGAATACACTGACTTTCAATCTTATCAGTCATGTGAAACATTCTGTAAATATTATGTTGATTCTTTTAAGTAGGTGTAGAGAGGAAAACTATGGATTAATATTGGTGCAGAATAATGGAAAAATGTCTCTGTTTTTCATTTTTCACTTGTTTTTAGCTTATTTTACTACTTTATATAGAACGTATTGGAATGTCTCTCAGACTTTTCTGTTGTTTTTGAAGGCTA